TGGGAAACGTTCTGGCTTTTTTTGCTGCCAGTGACGGCATAGTCATGGAAAACCTTGCAGAGAATTTCCTATGTGAAGTTCAATTGCCGGAAGTCAGGGCGTTTTATGCTTATCAGATTTTCATTGAAAACGTTCACAGCGAAACGTATTCTCTGCTTATTAATACGTATTTCCAGGATTCCGAAGAAAAACAGAGGTTACTGCAAGCAATCATTAATAATAGCAATGTTATGGAAAAAAGCAGAGTGGGCAGCGCAGTACATACGCGATAAAGAGCGTTCTTTTGGCGAAAGGCTAATTGCCTTCGCCTGTGTCGAGATGATATTTTTCTGTGGGGCTTTTGCAGTTATTTTTTGGTTCAAGGGGCGAGGCATTTTACCTGGTTTGACATATAGTAATGAGCTGATAGCCCGCGACGAATCTCAGCACGTTGAATTTGCTTGTTGGTTATATCTGGGATTAGTAAAATTTAAAATCCCACCTGAAGTCATTTATGAACTAGTGTTAGAAGCTGTAGAAATTGAGTGTAGGTTTTGGGAGAATGCGTTCACACATCCTCTGCGGGGCCTTAACGAAGCCTCCATGAAAACCTATGTTATGTTTGTCGCTGACGTCCTGCTGAAAATGCTGGAAATGGAGCCGTACTTTAAAGTGGAAAATCCTTTGCCCTACATGGAAACTATCTCGCTAGAGGGGAAAAACCAATTTTTTTTGAAAGACGCGTCTCCGAATACCGCAAGGCTCATGTTGGCCAGGGTGCCGAAGTTATGAAAGAATTTACAACTGAAGCAACGTTCTAACGAATGCTTTTAGGTTAAATGAATTCTTGATTTCTTTGAATTTAAAACAGAAGCAACGTCTTGACTGCTCTCGTCGTTCTAATGTTTTTATTAGTTTCTCTATAATGTTGTTTTTTGCAAGGAAAAAACGATAGTAAAAAGCGAATTTGCATTGAAAAAGCATCTTTTATTCGTAGTCGTCATGTAAAAGCATATTATTGCAAAACAATCTTGGCGGTCTGCTATCATAGGGGTGGTACATTTGATAGCGGTGTACGCGGCCATGGCTGTAGTTTTTTAAGTATTCCACGCACTGTATTTCCTCCCAATTTCCCGTCCAATCACATTTTGGGTGAGCGCATTGTATAATATTGGTTGCATGGAATCCGTGAGCAAGGAGAAATTCGATATCGTTTAGATCAGGCAATTCTTTGTTGTCGAATGTCCTACGACGACTTTTGTAGGTCCGGCGGCGTAGAGCGCCGAACTCTACAGGATCCGGGTCGGTTAGGGAATAGTTCTTTAGATCTTGGCACTCTCGCTCAAAATGATGAATTATAGCAGCTGTATCGCGCCAGTACAATTCCTTTTTACAGTGATTGCAGCGTACAGTGCCTTTGAAATTGTATCCCCATGATGCCAGTACAAACCGCGTCCACTCTGATGTGCGGAACATAAGCAGAAAAGAATCTTTGTGCTGTTGATACATAGGGCATACGGCAGCGGTGGCCGGGGGTAAACATCCAGGTCAGTGGCAAACGAGTCAGCATCAGCAGTAACAGGATCATCATCATAAGCTGATGATGACAACCGGCTTTCATTGTAATTGCCGGCATCATTGTCACTGCCTTGTTTAACAACTGCTGTTGTAATCTTTTGCGCTGCAGCAGTGGACTCCATAATTGAATTAATAGAAATGAGCAGCAGCTGCAGCACAGCACTAACCAGGCTTCATCAAACGCATCGAGTCAAGCTGTTTATATACAAACTGCTAAAACGTTTAGTACACAATAGTGATATTCCCGCTGAGCGAGATCCCCACTGAGCGGAAAGCCACCTCCTTCTAACTGATGGTGCACCGCAGGGCGCCGCAAGCACTGGGTAAACATGACATTAGCGCGTTGTGCTTTGCCGGGATGCATATATAAATAAGCTGACTAATGTATGTCACCCCGCAGAGTAAAGCTGCTCACCATCCGGTCGCTAACGAGCGATCATCATGACGCTGTTGTTTAGGTTATTTGTTTCTAGCTTTAGATTCAGTGTTCACACCTGTTGTCCCAGTGTTAGTAGTGGAAGAAGAACGACATCATCAGCATCAGCAGCTGCCATCTGCGTTAACGATGAAAATGAACCCGAAAAGCAGCAGCAGCAGCAGCAGTCAGCGCGGCAAAAGCTTAACCAAATTACCGAAGAATTTATTGCACGAGAGAAAAAGGTCACCAGCAACACCCCCACCACAGACGAAGTCGCAACGACAAACGACAGCGGCAACAAAAGATTCGATGGGAGAAGCGAAACTAAAAAGGCTCTACAACAAATGCAAAGATGTGCAAGCAGCATCACTTTTGTTTCGGCAAACGCGTCACATTGCATTCTCGTACAAGTTGTTTTACCAACAATTAAAAAACCTGACTGGTGGTGGTGGTGATAATAAAAGTAGTGGGCCTATGAACACGAAAAAATCAAAAACAGCTGCTGGTGACGGAGCCAGCGCCGCCAATAACGACCGTATTGACACCGATGCTGAAGAAGAAAAACAAGAAAATCGTGTCGCTCTCGACGTCATAAAAAATCCCGCGCAGTTTTACGCTCTGAAATCAATAACGTCGCGGCATAGCAAAAAGTTTAATGTCTGGGCAGGGAATTTTCAGCTAAAAATTGAGTCTCTACCGCTAGAGGGAATCGATACGGTCTTGCCTATTTTGTTGGCGATATTGGAAGATTTATTCAGCAATCTTCGCAGCTACATTCCAAATAAAGAAGATCTTGTTAGCGTGTCGCTGGAATCTAGTCAGCTATCCCATCCTATACAGATGCGTCTAGCCGCACAAGACCAGGTTAATGCAGAAATGTTTCTCTATCTTATTGCCAACGCACTAACTTCAAAAACTGAATTTTCGCTTGATTGGCCGGTATATATCAACCTTACACGCGTGCCAAAGCGTCCAGCTGGAGGTTGCGATCATGACAAAAATAATAATAATAATGATGATGATGATGGTAAAACTAGAAAAAATAAAAAAAGTAATGCTGCTGCGCGCCAACACCACCTACATAACCTAATTCGAACCCCCTATGGCGGCGGGATAATTAACGTGCGCAACAACGATATGCTATGCTTCGGGCGTGCCCTAGTTATATCAATGGCATTTGTTAATAACCTTCCTGCGCAGGATAACAGGAAATGGAAACAGCTCTGCGATGGAAGAAAAGCGGTTCAAAAAATTGAAGCGATAAAGCTGTATCAGCAGGCCATGGTACCCCTTGGCTCAGTGACATTCGCGCAATATACAGCCTTCCAAAACCTTCTCGCCCCTAACTATTGCCTTAAAATCTATAGAGCGCCCGACAATGAAACCGGGCTGGTCTACTCCGGTAGTGAGGACCAGCAGGTGCAGCAGCCGCTTGTCTCTACAAGCAAAGATGTGTACCTGTTCTTGTCGGATAACCACTATACAGCAATAACAAAACCCGCTCGATTTTTTGGTAAAGCTAAGCAATGTCAACACTGCAAAAAGTTCTGCTATAGGCTTGGTGCGGCGCACCACTGTCCGAAAATGTGTCCGAACTGTCAGCGCCCGGAATGCTTCTTTGAAGTGGAGAAAATCTGCGGCTTGTGTAATCGCGCTTTTCAAAATAAAGTCTGTTTTTCTCTTCATCGCTCCAAGGTGGTGGACATAGGAACGGGAATGACTGACTGTCAAATGAGACAGAAATGCCTGGATTGCGGCCTGATTACCAATGCAAACAAAAAAAGACACGGCGACAATCCGGTGCATTGTTGTGGTGAATATTTCTGCAGAAATTGTAAGATGGTGGTGGGAAAACTTCACCGCTGTTTTGTACAAGTGCACAAGGCGACACCGAAACCTGCACGGCCGTTTTTGTATTGTGATTTTGAAGCGGACATTAGCGGCGATCAGCATGTTCCAATTGCAGCAGCAGCAGTAGATGATCAAGGCATCGCAACGTCATTTTTTGGCCCGAAGGCCGGAATCCAGTTTTGTAGCTGGCTATCTGCTCGCTCCCATCTTAACCATATCGTCATCTTTCATAACTTAATGGGATACGACGGCAATTTCATTATGCAGTTTCTGCATACAAAGCAAATCTGGCCACAAGTCATTATGCGGGGATTAAAATTTCTCCAGATTTATGTACGAAGGTTGCTCTGTTATTGCTCTGTTGTTGTTGTTATTGCTGTTGCTTGTTACTTTTACCTAATCCCCCCCCCCCCCCGACTTTAACTTAAATCGTGTGTTAACATTTTAGGTGCCCAAGTTTAAAATAACATTGCGTGACTCTCTGGCCTTCCTACCGATGAGCCTTAGTGAAATGCCGGCTGCATTTGGATTCCCAGCTGCAAAAGGGTGTTTTCCGTTTCTTTTTGCGCGGTCGGAAAACTTCAATTACCGCGGAAAAATTCCCGATGAGCAGTACTATCTTAGCTCTCAAATGAAGTCAAAAGAATACGCTGCCTTTAAAAAGTGGTACGATGAGGAAGCTCTTCAGACAAATAAACGTTGGGTTTTTGAGAAAGAAATTATCAAATACTGCATTAACGATTGCCGTATTCTACGCGATGCTTGTCAGCGTTTTTGTACTAGCATGGCGGCATTGTCAGGCGGGTACAACCCACTAGTCGAGTCCGTATCTCTGCCCAGCTTCGTAAATACCGTATATCGAGCACGCTTCATGCCCGCTGACAGCATCCAGTTTTTTACATATCGTGATCTTCACACGCATCGATCTTATTCTTTTGAGAGCCTGGAATGGCTGCATTATGTGGCAAAGTCAGAACAAAAATCAATACGTCACGCTCGCAACCATCCCGAAGGTGAAAAGCAGATTGGGCGCTTCTTTGTGGATGGGTTTGATGAGGAGAATAATGTGGTGTATGAGTATCACGGGTGCTATTTTCACGGTTGCCCAGCGTGCTATACTAAGGACGCCAAAACATATGGAGGGCAGTCGATGTCACAGCTGTTTCATTCAACCATGCACAAGCAGAAATGTTTAGAATCACGGGGATTTGTATACCGTTCAATTTGGAGCTGTCAATGGCGCGAGCTCAAGCGGCAGCAGCAGGAGGCGGTCCAGCAGGCACTAAACGATTTCTGCCATGTGGCACCAATGAATATCAGAGATGCGCTTTTCGGTGGGCGGACTGAAGCTTTTCGATTGTTGGCTCTGCCAGACTCTTCAAAGGGTGAATATGTATCATACTTGGATAAAAATTCTCTGTACCCTGCTGTGTGTAAACAGAAAAGCTACCCGCTGGGTATTCCGGAAAAGATACTCAGTAACTTCAAACCATTAGAAGAGTATTTTGGGATTGCCCACGTGCGCATTTTGCCCCCTGTCAGCTTACATCTGCCTGTTTTACCCCAGCGGATCAATAACAAATGCTTATTTACGCTTTGTTGGCGCTGCGCCGAGCTGAACAATCAGGATGCCACATGTGGGCACACTGACGAACAGCGATGTTTCAATGGGGTGTATACAACACCCGAGTTAACACTGGCCATGTCGTTGGGATATACTTTAATTAAAATCCATGAGATCTGGCATTATCCGCGGCAAGGGGATCTTTTTTCCCATTATATCAGTACATTTATGGCCGAGAAAGCGGCTGCCAGCGGTTACCCTGCCGGGTGCATCAGTGACAGTGACAAAAGAGCCTATCTGCAGCTGCTGTACGATCGCGATGGTGTAGTGGTTGATCCGTCCCGCATGGAAAATAATCCCACTAAGCGCTTGCTTTCCAAGCTCATGCTTAATACGCTCTGGGGACGTCTGGCAATTAAGGAAAATAAAACACGATTCGAATATGTGAAAGATATGAAACGATTTAATGATCTCTTCTATTCCGGTACTTACAACGTTTCTTACGTAGACGTTCTGAGCGATGACGTTCTGCAAGTGCAAAGTAGTTTTACTTGCGATGTTGACGGATCAGATCTGCATGCGAATGTAGTCATTGCGAGCTTTGTGACTAGTTATGCGCGCCTCGAATTGTACGCAGGAATGGCGTATGTGGGAATAGAACGGCTGCTGTATGTCGACACTGATTGCGTAATTGCTTTAGAGGGACAAAACTTGAAGAGCCTACCTGTTGGCGAGTGTTTGGGAGAATTTAAGTCGGAGATTGGTGAAGACCAAATTATTGTGTTTGTCTGCGGAGGTCCTAAAATGTATGCCTATCGAACGAGCAAAGGTTCTGAAGTATTTAAATTGAAAGGAATCAGCATAAATCAGGGTAATAAAGATTTGTTTACCGTGGACACGCTTGAGAAAATGGTGCGAGATCCCAGACTGGTTAAGCATTCCGTGAACCCATACAAGATATTCCGGATTAAAGGAAAATGGCAGTTAAAATCCAGTGAACAACGCAAAGTTATTCGTTTCACTTTTGACAAGCGCAGAATCTTAGAAGACTTTCGAACGGTGCCTTTTGGCTACCATCCGTCAGCAGAAGTATAAAAGCCAGAAAGTTCCCCACGCGTCAATTGTTCTGCTCCGTTACTGTTACCGGAAAAAATGTTTGAGCAGTTTAGTTTTGAGCCGCTTCTTGTGCACCCGTTCAACTTGGTCTGCAGCTGCCAAAGCCAAGGTGGCAAAACATACTGGATTTCGCGGCTGCTCGAAATGCGCAAGATTACTCCTTTTCCTAAAAAAATCTATTTTATCTTCTCTTACGAGTCGGCTTTTTTTAAAACCATGAAACGTCATACGAAAAATATTGTTTTTATTAAAGATATCCCAAGCGATGTTGCAGAGGAGAGTTTTACTAATAAATGCGAGCCATCACTGATTATTTTAGACGATCAAATGCAAAATATAGATAAAAACGTAGTGTCACTTTTCACTCGCGGCACCCATCATCTTAATCGTTCAGTAATTCTGACAGTACAGAACGTATTCTATCAAAATCCCTTTATGAGAACCATTTCGTTAAATGCGCATTATTTAGTGTTGTGGAAACAGCCGCGCGATATGCTGCAAATCGAGATTCTTGCTCGACAAATGTACCCTCGTAGTTCTAGTTTTTTTATGGAAGCATATAAATCTGCGACCGCTCGCGATTACGGTTATTTGTTCTTGGATTTCAAGTCCTGTACGCCAGATGTTCTGCGCGTACGTGCTTGCATTCTAAACGAAACCAGTGACCTTTACCAGCGCATTTACGCCATAAATACAAAATCCATGGAGGAATTTGCTCTGGTCCCTGTAAAACACTTGACGGCCACTGGATCAAAAATGGTCATGACACGAAAGAAAAGTAAAGGAAGCGGGAGCGGCGCCGCTAGTTCAAAGAGTCACACCAAGAGCAATAACAAAAGCAGCAGAAAAAAGAAGCTGAATGCTGGCAAAAAGAAACGTCACAAAAGTGGTAAAGAAGGCGCTGGACTGGGGATCGCTAGCTAGCTAAAATGGATCTGCCTATTTTTATTGTAAATAGCAGAGACAGTAAAATAATGTCCTTTTGTATTACTGCATGGTGGCCGTATATGTCAATAAAGTTTAAATTATAAAAACAGATGGGTCACTGTCGTCAGAGCGCTGAGATTTTATTGATCTTTGTTCAAATGTTCATCGCCTTTTGCTATTGACATGACAAACACACAAACACACACTCACACACACTCATTCAAACACAGGTACGAACATCATTTCTTCAGAACCTCACAAACTTCACTATCATCACCGTCAATAGCATCTCCATCATCATCATCATCATCGTCATCATCATTCACATCACCCTCATCATCGTCATCCCCACCTTCAATATCACTACCGCAGTTTGCTTTATTGGAAACACGGTCGACGCTATCCGTAGTCTCATCATTATCATCATCATCTTCATCATCATCACCATTGTCATCGACAAAACCGTTGTTATTGTGGCCGCCAGGTTTATTACTATTTCGGGTTTTATAACTCGTCCTTTTCTTCGGGTCTCCGGTTTTGTTGCCGCTGAACTTTCGCTTATATTGCTGCTTTTTCGGGGAAAAAGGTTGTTGCTGAGATGATTTTCCTTTCCGTGAAACTGGTTGGGGCTGACAAAACTTATTATCCTTCTGCCACTCTTTTACTTTTTCTCTGAATTTCTGTAGCGCGTTACTGATTTCCGAAAGGTACTGCAGGGGAAAATGTAGTCCACATCTAGTAGCCACGTATTCGTCCTTTTGTTGAGATCTGACGATAAGCCGAATGTCTGCTCGCGGCTGGTTCTCTACATAGGTGCTCAGGCTTAGCATTACCTTGGTTGGCTTGTGCTGCAAGCAAACAGGGATATTTAGTAGTGCCTGTACTACCGCTTCTACTGCGTAATGACGGAAATTCGTCTTTATGTAATGTAGAGCTCATAACAATAGGCGGAGATTGCTGAATGATTTCGCTGATGTTTTTTTCCGTGGGAAAAAGAATTATGTCCAGGCGCGGCTCGCCTTTCAACCAGCTATTTGTAAGAGCAGTTATATTCATCTGATAATTTAAGGTTTTCTCCGAGAGTGCTCGTATTAGCCTGTTAACGGACCCATTCAGCGGTCTGAACATCGAAAGAATATTTTCGACACCGCGACCGTTTTTCAAAATTGCCAAGGTGTCATTAATGAAACTGCTAATTAAAAAAGATTTTCCGTTTAAAACGGCAGCAGTCTCATTAGTAAATTGATTAAGCATTCTCCCGCTTCTCGTAAAAAGGCACAGCGTTGTTAGTTGGGTTGCAAAAATTAAAACTAAAAAGGTCGGTTGGCTATAGCGATGCCAAGCGGAAATAAGATACTCATGAAAGGTCATTTTAGCAAATGCTTAAGTGCCAAGTGGCGGCAGAAGAGTGCAACTGTTCTCGACAGCACCGCTCTTCTTCCGCTTTTATATCCAGCAAAATCATCATTCCGCCTATGCCAAATTATTATTGTTGAAAACCCTGCGCTTGTTTACAAAATGTTTACAGAGAAGGGTTATTGCATGCACTTACAACAAGAATGAACGGGGCGGTATTCAACAGCGTTTCGTATTCCGATCCTCCAGCATCGTCTCGGCTTAAAATTTTCAGATTACCACTACCACCATTGCTCTTAGTATTTCCGTGTGCCATTTTTCCGTAATGCCAAGCAAAGTGAATTTCGCGCATTCAGCATGTTGCTCAAATAGCCTTTTTATTGAGTAGGGTAATATAAGTAGGTCATGATGTTAAATTGTCAACGCCTCCTGCTGCCTGTTGGGGCAGACTGGAAAAGCCTTTGTTATTGCCTGGCAGCAGCTGCATGGCAGAAGGCGCACAGCTTGTCGTCTGGCAGGGGCGGAGCATGTCCAGCTGGCTGTTGTTTACGGCTAGATAAACGCAGCTTACCGCCCGCTGCTTTTATGTCGGTGAATTGACTCATGCAGGAGCATAGGGCGGCTTTGGACCCCACCCCCACCGCGCAGAAAACTACCATTATAGCGGAAGCGTATAAAAGCAAAACCGCAACTATTTCACCTGAATACTCGATCAAGTTGGTTAACGGCAAATTTCCAAAAATGTCCGATTTTAATCCACTTATTCAGCAGGATACAGAGCCTGGTCTGAAAATTGTTTGGCCCGGGAATGACGATGAAGCAGCTATTAATCAGCTAAGGGCAAATGGCTTTACCCCTGTTAATCTTTTCGATTCCTACTTATGCGCTTATTGTGGACGAATAGATGTTGGTTTGACTACGCAAGCCAATCCAATCATTTCTCATATTCAGAAATATTCTGATTGCGAAAAACTCCGTGAAATGTGTATGGATGATGCGGATGATGATGAGCGCCCTATCAGGCTGAAGTTACCGGAGTTTCCAGCTTTTCAGAACCTGGACGATCGCCTGAAAAGTTATGCCCATTGGCCCGCGAAAGTTGCGAAGTCTCCCTATGAACTTGCGCAGGCAGGGTTCCACTATTGTGGACGAAAAGATATGGTTAAGTGCTTCTATTGCGGACTTATGGTCAGTGGGTGGATTAGCTCGGATGTTCCGCTGCTGGAGCATCTGCGCTGGGCCCCCAGTTGTCTCTACATTCTTCTTAAGCTTATGGATCGTCGCATGCCACCCATATATGCCACGTGCTGCTCACCAACAGACTGCGAGACATCATCATCGTCAGCATCACTTTCGACAACTGTAAGCCCAAGGTCGCCACTCACGACGAGCTCTGACCCGGAAAACTAACCACCAGTAAAGAAGCAATATTTAACGTTGCGGACTTCACATTCTGTTCACTGAAGGTTTTTGAAGACTACTACCAGCGAAATAAAAACCACCACGGCAATGCCTTCTTGTTTGTTTACTTTTCAAGTTTGAAAAAGGTATCTGTTTGGATTTCATGAGACATTAAAATAAAGACGGTAGACTAGTATGTGCCTGTTGTGGTCTGCTCTGCACATTTTACAAAAATTCGTTACGTGCTTACATTTTCTTAATCGTATCAACAAGACTTTCAAAGAAAAAAATTCAAGCATCATTTGATCCAGTACCGAAAAACTCAAAGAACTGAAAAACCCGAATGCAGAAGTTGGATAAGTATTCGTGAAAAAAGCCCAAAACATGACATCGACGTTTTCGCGTCAGACACCAAGCTGTTAAGTTACTGGGAACACAAAAATTAGGTAAAAGAGAGAAATCGGCAAAGAAACTACACGCTCGCGACAGACTGCTTTTTCTGCCTTGGTGGTCTTGGTATAGGCTGCAGTTGCATGGTACTGGCGGGGCGATACTCTCTGGCATTTGTTTCGTTTGGCAAAGCACAAATAAAATGGACTTCGGTAAAAAGTATGTGCAGCGGACGAACTGCTGCCTTCGACTGTTTGATGGCGTTCTCATCCCGGAATTCATACATTTCGCTGCCTCTGTACACGGGGAATTCCCGGATGTTGGGTGGCAGGACCTGTGCAAACCATGTGGGATTATTATTTATTTTGGTGCAATAATTACAATATTATCGCTGGTAAAAGTACACCTACTTCGGGTAGCTCTGTCAGACCGAGATCGAATAACTGTGGAAAGGTGTTGTGGGTGATAATGTTGCGCTTCAAGACATGACTTAGAATCAGACAAAGCGAAGTTCCTCCCCAGAATCGCACGTTTACGGCACTTGATCCCGGATCGTAACGGCTACAGCATGCTTTTTCGAGATAATCCTTGAGCCACCGTAGCGGGTCGTTGTGGCGCTTATGATAGGCATCAAGTACATCACCATGTTGCAAAAGACCACATGCGACAGCCAGACGAATTAGCAAATGGTCTTTCTCGCTTCCAAAAAGAGACATGGATATAGCTCGGAAGAAACAGTTGCCATCCCCTCGAACATTAAACAGAGAAAATTCAGAAAGGAACGGAATCTTCAGCTCTTGAACAAGTTTGCTAATTTTCATGGGCGAAAAGCCCATGGCCACGTCCTGTGAGAGAATTTCTTCGGTGGTTGAGGCAGCAAAGACTGCTAGAAATTTTCTTGATAAATCACCGAACCGCGCTTGCAGAACCTATGTTAGACGTTGTGTTAAAAATCAGACAATTGGAATATTTTCAACAAGGAAAACGCACTTCTGACAAAGCCGCCGCATAAAATTCGCTGTATTCCATGGCTTGACTCGCAAGAAACAAGCAATCAAGGGCCCTTTCGATAATCTCCACGTCGGGAAAGCCACGCTCGTCTGTTGTAAACTGCAATCAGACAGTCAAAATATCTCCAAGAACTGGACAAAAAGCACCCGAGTTTATTACCAGAAGAGGCTCGGGAGGGGAAATCGCGTTATAAATAACTGCGTTGCCAAACTTCTGCTGTACCAGTTGAATCAGGTTACCCATGGCAAGGCATCCAAAGGCAAAGCTCACCGCCATATCGTCCAAGGCTCGGTAGTAATGCGAAGGAATTAGTAGCGCCTGGTTAAGGTAGATCCATCTTTTAGTTCGTTTGGAGCGATATTTGAGCCGCTGCAGATCAAAATCACCAAAGTAAACGCCTTCGACGAGATTCTTTTTTCTGGCTTCCGGCTGCAAATTTTCCAGCCCGATTAGGAACAGCGCGCTTTCCGAAAGATAAATACAAAGTATAAATCCCGGAAAAAATCCAGCGCTTTCCTGCAATGCACATACCAATTCTAACGTGTTCGAGACATAAATTGCGATTATATTTCGTACGGAAACTTACGAGGAGAACGTTAAAGTTGTTATTTGATGCAGCCAAAACACCCATCATGCTGTTAAAGGCTTGAATCAAGTCGTCCACAGATGGATTCGGCCCGCTAGGTATGCTCGCCTCGCGCGGCAAAAAAGGGCTTATACGGCGATAGAGTTCTATGTTTAGCGCAAGGCTGGTGCTGCCGTTGAAGTCAGGTTTGCCTTCCTCGTCAATGCCGCTTTTTGAAGGAGGTGATCTTGGGTCGCCCGCCCGCGGCGTTCCCGGCTACACAAGAAAAACTTTTAAGCTTCAGCACAAATATACGTTTTTAAGCTACTTTACAAACCTGTTCATCACCCAAAGTCGTTGGGCGGTCGTCAATAATAACAATATCCTTATTTTCTGTAAGCCGCTCTTCCGGGTTTTGGGCGGGAATAACTGCGTCCAAGACGTTCCGTCCGACATCGCTGCTAACGTTGGGAATTTTAGAGCGTTCCTCAGAAGATTTTGGCAGGTCTGACGGGGACTGTGATGCTGAGAAGCCGGATGTCTCTTTGTTTTCATTCGCCCATTCCACTGCGGCTGCCATGTCGTTCCGTGGTGAGTCGGTGGAGGGAGGCGAATTCGTGCCTGAAATTTCATTCATTTCGCCGTTGCTGGTAATTCTAGTGATGCTAGCGTTTCCACTTTTTGCCGGGTCCATTTGCGTGCTTTCACCGGCTTCCATTGTAAACTGCTGGCTGACCGGCGCATTTTTAGAGTTTTCATGCGCGCCTAAAGTTGACTGCGCGGCCGAAGTGCTGGATGAGTCATATTTGTCCATTACCGCCTCCACTGTCGCTGAAACGTGTTCAGTATCGGCGTTGTCGCTAGCACTCATGACATCTTCGCCAGAGCCCGGTCGCGGTGATACGGCTCCGTGATCAGAGTCGTTATCCTTTCCCAGGGGAGGCGGGGTCATTATGCCTGAAATATTCTCCGCGCTGACACTATCGTAATCGACGTCCATGTCGGCAAAACTGGACTCGGCATCAGAAACACGCCCGTCGTCGGCAAGGAGATCGGGGTTGGATGATCTCGCTAGACTGCTTGCTTGCGGTATGTCATCCAGCTGCCGTGGGGTTCCGTTTAGTAAGTCACCAATTTCCGAATTGCCTGCCGCATCACTCATGTCGCAGTGCATCAAGTGATTATCAATACGATTAGGCACGTCAATAGGGACAGAATCGAGTGGCCCCAACTGGTTCGCGATTTCTTTTTCGGGCGCAATGGAGACGTCTCCAGCGATGATTTTTAGGGGCTGGAATCATTGAATACTTAACTAGCAGACCACTAACAATATAACAAATAAACATGCTCCGGACTTATAAATACTTATATGCTAAAGTGGTGTGCTGCCTTACCGCTGGCGACCCGTAGGGCGATAACGACGAAATTTCTGCTGTAACAGCTACTTCAGCCGCCTCCACATCGCGGCTTAAAGCAACCCGACTTTCACTTTCATCCGCTTCTCCGCTAACAGCATTCGGGAAAAATGTGTTTAAAGGCCGTGTCGGCTCAGGAATTTCGAGAGAATGGTCATCTGCATTCCGCGCAGGTAAGTTGTGGTTGCCCGGATTTTCAATAGGCGTGGAAGATTTGCTGCGCCTCTCGACACCCGCATGCACGTTGTCGCTGATTGCGCTCAGATCAGCGCCAAAATCATCGTCGTCTGGCTTCCGTTTTGTGCCCTTATCGTCGGAGGTATCGTTATTTGGCGTGGATGCACGGATGGAAGAATGCGCAGAATTCTCAAAGCCCGCCTACGTCAATAAAAACTCGCTTTGCAGTGACTGAATAGCAAGTTTGCATTGACTGAACACATTATTTACCGGTTCACTTGCTTTGTTTGCAGTGCGCTTGAATGAAGTTTCCGATGTTGAGCTACTAATATCATTCACAGAGTCCGCTTTACGTTTCTTTTGTGAACTTTTAGATGACTGATATACAAGTGGAATTCGATCCTTTGCTTCGGGATCGCTTAGCATTGCAGTTCTCTGAATGAAAGAAAGATTTTATAAGTGCCTTACGCCTGGCAGTTAACGAACGCGAACAGCTAAATACTTACCACTAACTGGAAATTAGCAGCCTTCCCCAACGACCAAGGATCAGATTTACGTAGCATCAGATCTAGCGCATATCCAAACTGCGCCCAGCGCTGCTTTCGTGTGTAATTGCTATCTTTGGGCGGCAGGAGTCGAGAGAAAGAAACTGGGGAGACAATCACGTTAAACTCCCTCGCTACATTGCCTGAGCCTTCGGTTACTTTGATATCCCTTCTCGATACACGCTGATAAAATTCACGAATTTTCTCGCTGAAGCATTCGGGGAATTTCGCCACGTCCTCACACTTCTTATAGGCCTGGCGAAGGTTCTCCTTATCTTTTAGGCTTGAATGCAGCTGTTTAGATGGGATGAGAATGTCGCTTAACCAAGGAAACACTTCGACACAGCTCCGTTTCACTTCCAGATTGAGCTCACTGGTACGGGCAGTATTATCTCCAAACAGCTCGTCTGGGTCTAACGGAAGAGGCGTGTAACTGGACTTATTGCAACACGGAATGTCGCGCGGCTCATCAAAACCCTGGTCTGGCTCGGGGACTGCGTCCACCGGGATGCCATCGTCCTCTAACCTCCGTTGCAGCACAGCTTTTAGCCGACGACGAAAAACCATCAACATGTGGTGTCCGTCGCGCTTCTGGATGACATGGTTTTCTTTTTGGGCTTCATGCTGCAAGATGAGATCGACATCAAATTGCTTGCAGTTGGCATACGCAGCCACGAGAAATAGGAGGTGGCCAAACTGCTTTCCCGCTTCTAATCGTTGAATTCCTGCAATTATAAGGGATATCATGCAAAACACAGCCTTAACTAACTGAAGGTGTAGTGCAATTACCGTCAACAACTTCTACTGTAACTTCGCCGTTTTCCAACTGTCGTCTAATTTCTTCGACAGACAACCCTTCGGCGTCAACGTTACCCACAAGAACAAATCCTGCAGACACGCGGTTAGCTTTGACATTCCTCAATCCTGCAAGGATGGTTTTCACTTGGTGCGGTAGGATTTGTCGTACGCCGCAATATTTGGCCGGAACAATCCGGGCTGCGGGAACGAGAACGTGGCCAACAAATTTGCTCTCCAAATACTGCGGCGCAAAAACAACAGTCCTGGCAAGCTCCTCGGAAAGAAAGTTTCGTCCGATAAGCTTGTCCGGCAACTGATCCCATGTGATGTTCCATCTTTCGGTTTCGGGTAAGTTGTCAATGGCCTCTCTGACGGCTCGGCAAACAGGCTTCATCATCTTTGCATCTTCTTCATTAAACCCGTAAGGTCCTTTGCCTGAATCACGCTGCGCCTTGTCAGTCGGGCATTGCTTGTGAAGATCGGTTTCACCGACTTTCGTACGCCATAAGTAAGGATCTGCGATATTCCCAGCTGTGGCGACATTGGCGCCCATGTTCCCTCCGAAATGGGGCACGCCCGGGGAAGCTGTGATTGTGTCTCCTGGCTCCTGCTCAGCCCACCAGAGATCGATACCTTCATCGAGAATTTCGTCCACCAATGGCGTAATAACATTCTTATGAATGCTCCCGGTTGCCGGATCAACGCAGACGTCTAACCCAGCTCGGACATGATATTCTAGCAAGAAAACAAATGCCCAGTTATTGCTATGCGCCCCCGATAATTTAAAACGTGCAATATCATACTTTTGATAATTTCGTTAAGCCTAGGAGCGTGTTCCGGTGACGTGGCGAACCATGATTTGACTACGCCGCAATGTAGAGTATTGTAGAAGCCCAACAGGTAATCTTCACAATGCCAGCCAAAGAAGGTGAGCACAGTGGCATGCAAGACTTCCGGGATATCAATGCCGTAGCGTCCTTTAAGATGATAGAGCATTCCCATAAGACGAATAAGGCAGACCAATCCAGAAAGATCAATTCGCAGATGCTACAAACAATACAAATATTTATGGGTTCCCGCGCATAGAAAAAATTGAGTATAACATTCAACAAATGCACAGACACCGCAAGTTACCTCTGGGAGGGCCTCGGGTCCGTTGTGGCCGTATTTCCAGTTCATTGACCCTGGTTTCAGATCTTTGCATGCGAAAAAGGACACAGCCGTTAGAAGCTCCCTTGTTGCCGCGGGGAGCTGGTTTTCAACATCGGAATCTTTAATTTCCAGCTTTCCGTTTGACTTCAGTGCGTATTGAGCCTGCTGTGCTTTGATCGCGTCGCGCCAGGATTGGTCTTCGAGATGATTCTTCTTATCAGTGCTCCTAATGTGCACCATTTGCGGTACCTGCTCCTTGGTTTGACTATGTACGACCGGATAAAAATGTTGATTCGTGAATGCGAATTTTTTCCGCATCTCGGGAATATCCAGATAATCATAGACTTCGTTCTCATTGTAAACTAGGTCGCAGGTCTCGCGACATGATGGTACGATCTACGAAGGATCAAAAAGCATGCAAGCGTAAAAATATAACAGCCTTCTGGTGAAGAAAATGAGTGCCTTTTTAAAAACCCTCACCTTTCGGATAAACCAGTCTGATGAGTGGTTCCGGATGAGCTCATGCGTAATTCTACTAAGGTCGGCACCGTATGTTTTCCTGCGAATATCGGCAACCACCTCCTTAATCTTGAAAAGGCGCCCCCGCTGCTGCGCGGCAGGTCTGGATGAGGCATTGGTCATGTTGAGCGCGAACCGAAAGCTGCGTTATCTAAAACGTGACGGACGTAAAGGTGAGCTTACTACTGTCTAGTGAACCTGATAAAATCTGATTGATCTTGCTCTGGGTTGCCTTGCATTGACGCATTCTTCTAATTTCTTGTTTGTTTTACAACATATTTCACTGCGTAGTCCGCACTCACGTCACCAATCTGCTGCTCTGAATGTGCATTTAAGTAAGCAGTTGTTTTGGAAACTTCATCTACACTTTCTGTGTTTTCCTATGTATAAGGATAATATGCAAACTGAAGTAATACCTGTGTTATTTATGTTGGTTATCATCGTAGACTTCACAAATTACATGCGCAGCATTCGAACAATTTCACTTAGCCCGATTCAAAACATTGCATTTTATCAGTAACAGTATGCGCAGTAACAACGACGGAATGCCTGCAAGCATTCCCGAAACATTTATCCGATCTTAATGCGCTTTTTTATCCGCTCAACCTCCTGACGCTGCCGACTGACGTGCTGTTCCGCTTTCTTCAGGTTTTGCTCGGCTTTCTCCAGTGCCAACTACAAAGAGCCCAAGACCAGTGAAAATGTCAATATGCAAACTAAGAAATTAAAGCCAAACCACCCTTACCTCCGGATTCTCACGCTGCAGCTGCTTCCGCTTCTCCTTCTTCTTCTTCCACTCTGCTGGTCTGTTCAGCCTCCGCTTCGCGGTCCGCCTCCCCGCCTTTTCCGCTTTCCTGGCAGCCCGTTCCCGTTCCTCTCGCAGACGATCTTCTTCCGCTTGTACATGCGCGCGGCGAGCTGCAAAAGTCAAATTTATTGTTAATTCATTGAAATAACTCGCTAATATCCGTACCATGCACACTACTTTTATTCATCGACTTACCCTCGGACACCACCGTCAGGGCATGATCCATAACACCGTGTAAATACTCGGCTTCGGCTTCGTGGATGTGAATCCCATCATCGCACATGGTCAGATCACGGGCAACCTCCAGAAAGTGCCAATTACGCTCTGCATTGCGAGCACAGAAGGTCCGGAGAGCTGCATTCAGCAAATTCACCGCCCTTCTGCAGCTCGGTTCGTGTCGTGGAGGGTGATCAAACGGGAGCTTGGACTGCTTAATGGGCGGACATGGGATGACAAAGATTGGCGCGAAGTACTGCTGGAGGAGGTTGCGATGTTCCTCCAGCGAGACAGTGACGGTACGCGCTGGCTCGTCCGTGTTCGCGGTATCGCCGTTCCAAATAAATCGGGCCATGTTATTGGTCCCCGCCTGCAGAAACAGCTTCTTTCGCTGGTGACTGGGCGGTGGTCCGGCTGGATACTCTCGACGAGCTCGGTCGATCAGGTCCACCAGTAGCTCACCATATGTCGCACCGCTCTCCGTGTACTGGAAAATTATGCGGCCGTTGATGGAGCCATACCGCGCAAAGATATTGAAATGGGAAGCGCGATCAAATCGATGCGGCAAGTTCATACAAAAGTAGAGCCGGCGCAGCTGGGAGTCGCCCCAAAGAATCACACGGGCCTCCATGAAAATGCCCACCCAGTCCGCATTCAGCTTGCGCCTTTGGGCGCGGGACATTCGCCGCTGGGAAATTCCTGTTGTATTCTTGCGTCGGTCCATGATACGGAAATTCTCTTTCAGTAAACAAAGCCCTCTTATCCAGTCTGGCGAAGGGCTGGAGATGAATCCCGTCATCGGAACCATTTTCAGCCTACTTGACAACCCAAAGCATTAATTTAATGTGCGCTGACAAATCAAGTTACGCCCAGATTATGTCTGTTTCGAGCGCCCCCTTCCCAGCTGCGCTCACAGTGAGCCTAGATGCAGTCTACCGACAGTACCACCCTTTACGACAAAATTCAAAACTGTGTGGCGCTCGTCAGTTATTAATTATCACAAAAATTATCAAATTATTCAAGGCGAACAAGCTTTCGCTTTTCATTGTTTATTATAAATGCATTGGTTGTGCCCGTATGTGCACTTAAGCCAGATAAACTGAATTAATCTGTATTAAACTTTTAAAGTGCAACACAAGTTATATAGACTAAGCCGTCCTGCTATCAAATATTCGTACACTTAATCTTACGAATAATCGCAGTGCAAAGCAACCCCAGTATGGAACCCGATTACTTTATCAACTGAAGGAGCAATTATTCTACAATACTTGAGAAAACGTACCTCTCCGATGTAGCAGCTCCAGTAAATGAAATCCGGCTTCCTGCACAGTACACCAGCTTAACTTGGTAGCCCGCCCGGTGGTACTGGCCCACAACTGCAGCTAGCCCGAGAGCACCGCCCGCTGTTGTGGTGGAAGCGACCGCGACCCCAAGGCAGTACACCAGCTTGACCGTAAAGCCCGCACGGTAGTACTGCCGGCAGACTGCTGCTAGCCCGAGAGCCCTGCCGCAGCTGCACCGGTGGAAGCGGTCAGTGGACGGAGGTGGAGGATGGCGAGGCGAGGCTGCAGACAGGGAAGGCGGAGTCGGAGACACACAGGGCGGCGGAAGGAGCGGACAGCAGGAAATGGGACGTAGTGGTGCGCAGCAACGATGGTGACGGTGAAAGGTCAGAACCGTCGCGGTCGACACGAGGCTAAAAAATAATGTTTTTAGTAAACCAACAGAGGCCTGCGCTGCGTCTACCACCATGACAAAATTACTCAAAATATTCAAGAAATTGCATCACCATGCATAAACAGTGGACTGCGAAAAGCTGTTACTACGCGCGCACCCAAGCACTTTTCTGTACTCAAACAGGCAAATTCGTGGTTGGCATTCGGCCTGCTGGTATTAACACTTACACCTTGCGCATTTTTCTACCAAAACCATCAACCAATATCTCAAACGAAAAAGAAAAAAGTTCAAGAATTTTGATAGCAAACAAGTCGTACTTTATGAAATCTAAGAAAAAATCGACGCATTTAAGTTTCTCGTAAATAGCATAGGATTTGAATCCACGGTTTGGATCCAGTTTTCAAACAGAAATCGTATGCTTTGCTTACAACAAACTAGAATGGCTCGGTTTTCTCTTAGACCTCATAAAGAACGACTTATTTGCTATCGAAATTCTTGAAATTGTTTTCTCTTTTACAATAACTATAATTATTTAATTTAAAACATTAAAAGCTCCAATAAATTTACAGGCGAGAAGCTCCGCACAGGCGCGTATGACGTACCTATAATCACAGACTTCCACCAAACATTTGTTGGCCTGAAAATCCAGACACCTGAGGCCGAGAGCGCACTGGGCAGCTATAAAAATATGACAGAAAATTTATTGGGTTACACAAATGAACATTGGTTAAACGCTAAATCACGCAGTACATTATTTCATCGCGAAGTACATTATTAAACAAATATTGTATAAAAATAAATAAAATAAAAATAAATTGAGTGCCTATAAAACCGAAAAACATGGTGTATGTGAATTAACAACATAACTTACTGTAAATACTTCGTCAGCAGAGGAAACCGCACCAGAAACAAAAGAACGGCCGCATTGGAGGGATCAAAAACCTTCAAAAGATTCCTACGGGTTCTTCGTTAATGCATTAGCATTTGAAACGAAGACCCGTCAAGCTGAATGCGAAGTGCGAAACAGTGCCGTGTGCCTAGCAACTGGACGCAGGGCAGGTAAAATTCAACCTACCTGCGCCGTATCTGAGTCGTACGCGCTGCAGATACGGCGCAGTTGTATCAACAGCAAGAATTTGCTTGCCCATAGTGCTGCAGCAACAGCAGCCCGGAGGCGGCTGAAACAATCGCCGCTAACCATGTACGCAGCGCCAAAATAATAAGTCTTATTATTTTTATATTTTATTTGTAAGTTGATATTAAGATTTTATATTTTATTGTATTATTTTTATGATTACATTTAGTAGCAATTTTATTATTTTTAAAATTTAATTTTAGGGGCAGTTGGGGGTGGCTGCTTCTGGGGGCAGTGGATCAGGGGTGGCGCCCAATGGCGCCAGAATGATCACTTATCATCAGATACCAAATCTACTGATAGATTACTAAGGGGCGCACTGTTTGCGACGATACAATTGGCTCTTAGGAATACGTACGGGACAACTTATTTGCATAGTCGACCGTTGACACCAACGGTAGGCATTTGGTTTTGGTGTACCGGACACTGAACCTGGGTCAACGTGAGAAATTTCGTTTCTTCATGGTGATCTCACTGATCTGGCTGTATGCACTGCAACACTGGTAGGTAGGCAAAACTGCACTCACTACCATAAATTTTGCAGGCAGTAGAACTAGACACCTGCACACAGACTACAGGTGGCATTTGATGTGACGCCTTAAACGTCTGCTAACACGGAAACACCATTGATATAATTATGTAGGCAGCCAGTACATATGATAGAAGCTACAAGCCTAATAAAACTGAAAAACCAACCAGTGACTAGGATTCCCATATTACCACAATATCCGAATAAGCACTCATACAATATTATACATGTACTGGTAAGTGTATACGTACTACCCTAGTAAATGTACATGTACTGGTAAGTGGTAAGTGTATACGTACTAGTACCTAACGTATACGTACCAGTACTTACCGGAAATGTTCAGTGTGCGATACTGAGGCACTCCCAAGCCCGACAGTCACTTTGGGATCAGCGATTTAGCATGAGTCACAAGAAATACGCTTAGACGGCTTAATGTTACTGGTAACTGTCAAGCGACTGTCATTTATGACTATCTTTTTTATTTTGAACCTTTTGACCATGGTGCTCTGAAAACGTATCGCATTGTCGCATACTTTGCTGTTATTTCCTGAGAAAATTGATCGGCGTTAATAGCTACGATGGCGCTAGAATTTGCCAAATTCCTTCTTCAAGAAGAGAAGAATCTTGATGAGCATAAAGAGGTAAAACGTACACCGCAAGTCACCTTCGTCGTTTAGCAAACCAGTCACCCCACAGTGCAGTACATACTCATAAGCGCTGTGCATGGAATGCTCTACATGGGCAGGAGAGGCTTGTAATTAGTCAGCCTGGTAGTTAATCAAACATCCCTCCACGTGGGGCGTTACTCTCCTTTTTTCATGGCTTTGGACAAAATGTTAAGCGTTACGCTGTTGCTTTAAGGGGTGATATCACATTCGAGCTGGATCTGGTTTCGATTGAGCAACAGAGATAGGTGGTTTCGCTTACCGTCTCTGTAGATGAACAGCAACAGCTAGATAATTTAACGTTGAGTTAAAGTTTTAATAGGCAACAGCCAGTGCACATATCGGTATGCTTTCACAGGTTTAAACACTAATTAAAATGAATTTTAACGTTGAGTTATATTAATGGTTTGGCTTCTAACGTTTTAGCTCCTTGACGCTGTAGCTAGGCTTTCTGTCAACACAACGGAGGTTCGTGACAAGGAAGCAGGTGGCGATTCCGTTCCCGCTGTCAACCAGGTAGGAGGTTTTGTACGAAAGTAAAAAGCAACCAGAAGGTTTAATACTCAACAGCAGCACTGTACACTGCACAGGATGCTTTCGCGTGGCATTACGTGCTTAATCAAATTTAACAAATTCAAAAAAAAACCAAAAGCGTTAGCATTGCACACGCGGATGCGATGTACTAACGCTTGACGTCGGTTCAGGCAATGTACGAGGTAATCAGAAGGTAGACCGCGTGGGATCGTAAGCCTGCCTTCACGCCAGTTTGTCACGACTTGACTAAGTATACGTAGCTATTTATATTTGTGCTTGTTGTCAGCGGAACAATTACGATATATCATACGGTAAACTGTGTGCAAAGGTCATAACACTGTATTCTCTGATCTTATATCATTAATAACTCGTAAACATTTCTGCCGACTACACACGCGCACAGTCTCTGATTGCTGTACAGAACCTGGGCACACTGACGAAGCATAGCTTTAAGCATTATTTCGCTGCTTTTCTGCTTTTCTACGCTTTTCTGCTTTTCTGCGATTAGCTTTTCTGCGCATACTCGTTTTCTAAAGAAATCGAGTCTATGTATTTGTATTAATGGATTGGTTTATGTCTTTGCAGTTGCTTACCCACCTCGCTCGTTTTTTTGTCGAGAAATCAGACGTTTTGGATAGTGCTGAAGACTACATCTTCGACGCAGTTGTCCAGGTAGGAAGTGTTACTTGTACGAGATTGCAATACCGGTAGTTGGTTTCCGTTTTTCGCTGGTGGCTGAGTACGTTTCAGTCGACCCGGTTATAATCACACTGGCGGCTCGGCTCGGTTTGGTTTTCGGTTTGGCTGCAACGTATTTTATTAGGTAACGATGTACTGTTATTAACCCGGGCACATTTTCCCCCTCCAAATTCAGAAAATTCTGATTTTTTGTAAAATGGTAGCATACTATCGTAGTATGCCTAAAAAATATTTTCATCTGCCATGGTCAAGGGGGCGTGGCCAGACAACAATTAAAAGTTTGCGGATTATCACATACTATGCAATGCAGTGAGTACACGTTATTCGTAATTATTTTTGTGTTAGTGTAGTACTTTACTGTAGTACCATGGACTTTGCAACTGTCAAGTGGGGATGTAAACGAAGCCCACGTGCGGCGGTTTGTGCCATTGCTGCCTGAGTACTCATTTTCGAAAAAATTTTGAAACCAAAATCGATTAGTGTTGTATGAAGTAAACTGTGCCAAAAAACTTCCTTTACTACATAATAAACAGATACCGACATACTCGTTCTGTACTTTATAATAAATTTTCGAAAATGTGCACTCAGGTAGCAATGGCACGTGCCAAAAAACGTGGCCTTCGTTTACATCCACTTGACAACTGCAAAGTCTACGGTACTACATTAGAAAGTAACACAGAAATAATTACGAATAACTTGTACTCACTGCATTGAATAGTATGTGATAATACGCAAACTTTAAATTCTTGTCTGGTCACGCCCCCTTGACCATGGCAGATGAAAATCTTATTTTAGGCATACTACGATAGTATACTACCATTTTACAAAAAATAAGAATTTTCTGAATTTGGACGGGGAAAATGTGCCCTGGTAAGTAACGCTTTTTTGATAACACGTGTTTTAAATTTTGATCAACCACTGAAGCTTTAATTTTGCTGCACTTCACCACACACATGTACTTTGGCTAGAAACTGGATTGAAACAAATTTTGTGCCAAATCTGTTGTAGTTTTGAATTCCGTATCGTTTATTACTTACCTAAAATCGGCGAAGTGGCTTGCATTACGGTAAATGTCTGCCAAAATAAATGTTACTGTGTTACAACACTCAGGAGTGTTTAAAACTTTGAAAATCTAGAGCCTGAACGTCGGTTAAATTTCGGTTTTGAACGAAGATTATATAAAACAGCAGCGTTGCCGGGTTCTGAGCAGCTGAATCCCTACAAGTCAGATGCAATTACATCCAGTGGGAATTCTCCACGTATTTTCAGACTAGTGAACAAACAGGTGGTAGTTCGAAACAGCAGAGCATGAATAGAACCGATTTTACTTCAGTTAAAAGCGAAGCAAAACCAAAAGAACGGTAAGAAAGGTTTTGTACCAAGTAAAAGGTGGGAAGAAGTAAGAACTGCGACAATGTAGCAATCCTAACGAGATGCTACGTAAATGGTCGCAAACCAAGGATGAGTTGTAAATTGTGTGTGGTGACCTGTTGACCGCAACGATACACCTTGGGCAGATCATGTCTAGCCACAAAATCCGTATTTTTGTGATCCAATCCGATAGTTTGTGAAAACCGATTGTTCGCGCAAATATTCAGTTGATGAAGAAAAGTTAATGAGTTATCCACTTCCCCTAACGCGGATCCGCCGCTGTCCATGCCGAAGACGAGAAAGCCAGATTGCACCGGTATCTTGGAAGCAGATACATTTTTCAATTTTTGCCCCACCCAGCTTTGAAACTCTCGGCCCTCAGGGTAAGCCGGCATCCGTTATAGCGAAGGAAAAGGACACACGACTAGCAGCACACAGGCGGATTTCGCTCGCTCGCTCGAGTTTATACACTAACTCCTCTCATTTAATATTCAAAGGGGCAACGCGGCTTCCGTACTCGGGCCCATGGATGGAATTGAGAATTTAAAAGGAATTTTATTGGTGTAAAAGTTCGAAAAGGCTGGCAGCGTGGCCCACCTAGCAGAAAACGCGAAGCGTCTTAAGTATTCTTCTTTGAAAAATCGATACCTCTTTAAAGGCTTTTTTATCCATTTAATAGTGGTTGTGACGCTGGGTGTTTTTCGGTCGGCATTATGCGAATTGTAACATTTTATGGGCCGGAAAATTCGGAGCTGAAGGCTGAATGGGAAAGTGCGTTCTGCAGCTTTCTTGAGCAGCGGTATAGTTTGGCTTCTGTGGAAGGAAATTGTACGACCGTGTCAAGAACGATACCTTTTAATCCACGGTAGACAAAGATTATGGTTGTTTTTTCATTGTTTAAATTTTGTCTGTAAAGTAAATTGCCCGCGTTTGCACTTTGTGTTAATTCTGTTGCTACTAGCTACAGCTTAATAACGAGGTACAAACTGTTGTTAACAACTCTGTTCAGTTGCATTAGATTACTAGTACTATGGCTGACTGGTGCTAGTAAAAAATGTAGCCGTAACAGAGTTTTTAAGAGCACTTTACTCCTTTTTCCGAATGCTTATAATTTTGTTTGTAGACGTTTCACGATGCTGTTGTAGAAGCTTTGTTGAAACGCCCGAAAAATACCAGAAAGCAAGCAGAAAATCCGCAACTTTCCTTGAGGGCGGAATTCGAACATTTCTTGGAACGCCTCGACGTTTATGGTCATGCACAGGTGGATGCCATAGTGCCAGTGGTGTTAAATGTGGTAAGCTGTCAGTAACTGTGGGGTTCTCGTGAATCTTCTTTTACGTATTATTCCTGTTGTACTCGTACTTAGCAACTCCGTTACTGCGTGTTTATCACTTGCTGTACTTCCTATTTAGTCAGCTCGCTGCTGTCAACCTGTATCATTCATCACAGTATCTATTTCCGTACAAGAGTTTTGAAGGCTCAAGTTTAATAGCAGTTTCACAAAGTTAACAGTAATAGGCTAGTTCCAAGAAACTGATGCGAAGCAATAAGTATAGGAGACTGAAGTAAAAAACGTCCAGGTACCACGTAGCTGGTTGTATAGGAGTATGTATGTTGTACATTGTACCGTGTACGAGACTAGCAGACCCGTACTAGCAGACCCCGCGCAAATTGCGCGGAATAAATAAATTGCGATTAGTGACTCAATGCAAAAATCAACGACTGGAGATATAAGATATGTGAACGAACCGTTGGACTGTATACTAATCAAAGTCCACATTAGCCGAGTTAAAATCCACAGGAAAATTTGCCCATCCAGTTGACTACAGACATGACCTTAAACCTGAAACGCAAAATTAGCATTTATCCCGGAAACGGACAAATTTTCTTATCCGTTTCTGATTCGTTTCCTATATTTCTAGATCATGCAGTCCATGAGCAAATTTCATGCAGGTTGTGCATAGCGGCCTCAAACCTTGGCGAGCCAGGTTCGAGGTCACCCCGAGTATGTCAGTTCACGTCCACGTCAAACTGTGCTTATACCGTAGAAATCGAGGTGGCGACATTGGGAACCTGAGTTCGAGGTCCCCGAGACTTCAGTTCGATTCAGCATGTCAAGTTTTAAAGCAATCATGATGAAAATCGATGGCGATCTAAAGGACACTCGGCGACCCAAAGGTCATTGGTACTTTTGTTTATTCGACCGCAACATGTTTTGAATCAGAAACGCGGGCTCACTTGATTATATTCGAATCTGTGTTTCAGCAAAAATTGTGTTCCGACCACAGTTTTCGTGTGTAGTTGCCATCGTATTTAAACGTCCAGGCTCAGGTCATATTCCAAGCAAGATGTGGGGCTCTAATCGAATTCTGACCTACGGACTTCAGTTTGCTCCAATCAAATTGTCAGGCTTTAATTAACTGTAATCCGATTAAAGTATCTTTGTTGTAATAAGTCAAGGTGACTGAAACGTCTCTGCATGCCCGGATTTTTCTTTCGGCAAAAACCACGCAGGATGCCGGAAAGAACGTTAACTTTAAAAATTTTGCAGGGCGATGAATCGCGGCCCATCCGGGAAACTAGAAGTCTTTGTGTGCCGCCTGTAGAACCAACCGAATTTCCGAAGTTTGTCAAGGACCTTTGGATTAACCTGGGCGCACAACCGCGGAAACTTGAATGCTACGTTTATGGGGTGCTCCATGAAACGCTGCATTTTGTGTTTGGCAACATGGGCGATGTTTTTATCCAGCATCAATTTGCTATAGCGCACCCTTGGCATAAGACCCCTACTAATCGAGCCCGTACTAATATTCCCGACCTGGCGCTTTTAAAGTGTGACCATAACGCCAGCAAGCCGAGCAAAAAGTACCAAGCTTTGCTGCTTGTCGAAGCGAAAAATTATTCGGTGAACAATAAGCAAATAAATGAGCTAAAAAAACACGCCGAAGAGCAGGCCAAAAAGCAAGGGAAATTTGCCTTTGCCGCCGACCACGTTGGGAAGCACGTTTACTTGATGATCACTGTTGGCTGCGAATGGACCTGCGTTAAAATGACGAAAATGTCGGCAAAGGCCACTGCAAGTCAGTTTATGTTCAGCCGGATACTTCCCGGTGGGAAATGGATTCCATCGCTGCACTCTACGGAAGCGTTGGTTGCGTTACAGAATATCCGTCATCACATTGAGAAAGACGAGCTGAAAAGATACAAGGTACCATCTTCCATTAAATAGTGTACGATGAAATAACTCATTTTTTTCCTGCAGTCTGCTAGTTCCGTACCGGAACAATAAACGTCGCTGGGATTTGGATTGGATTTTGAGCGGTCATGGCCTGCTGCACTGCTAATCCTGATGACTTTTGTTTATTCTCTGTCTGTCTTGTTTGGTACTCTGAAGGATGAAAACGTTAAACATCCGGGGATCTTTTCCTAAGCGACACATTACAAATCGACAGTTTAAATCAAGGAGGAAAGATGCGGAGACTTATCCTTTTTTCGAATTTCTCTGCAACGCGCCTGCCATGTACTTTTACAACTCATTCCGTGAAAATTTAAGAAAATCGTAGTCGAATCATACTCGTACTGACAACCATAAACCACGAATAATTTTAATATCACCTGATCCGGATAATATCATTGAAACTACCAGACATAAGATGAACTTATACGCAGTAAACTCGTAAAGATTGGACCAACAAAAGAATACCCGCAACAAAGCCAAGATGTAAGCCGATCCACTAGTTCTGTCAGCGAGACCGTACTGTGTCCGCCACCGGCTGCAGCACATGCCTGCGGTGGTTCGCAGCACCTTTGGGTTTACCGTAGCAATCAGGTTGCAACGGGCGCGTGTCATGGGGACGTTGAAGAGGCATGCATCGTTGAACCAGAGCATGTTGTCGGCGATATCGCCCACATACGGAAAAGTACGAGCGAGATAATCCGATCGTAACGATTATCTCTTGTCTGGACTTCGTCATCCGCTCCAGTTCTTTTGCGCAAAACAGACCAACCTGGAAAACTAATATTGGGCGCAGTAATTGTCAATCAAAATGAAAAGCAGCGACCCACGCAGAAGATTGCCATTAAATCGACACAAACGTTAACATGTCGGTTGTGTAGCACAGGATCTCGTGAAGGCCTTAGTGCTTTTCTAACTGTATGCAAGCATCTCGTAGTTTTTGCGTTGTAAACAGATAACTGGACATCGACATTTGATACCGATCAAGTTGGCTGTTGCATGAGTACATACAAAAATTACTCGGTTTTTAGGGGCCTTTTATAAACACATTTATTCCGGTGTTTTGAAAAGCGCGAAGGCGAACCGCTTGTTTCGATCCGTTTAGCACCGTTTAGTGAACAAGAATGTTATACGAGTGACGCCAAAGAGCCACGTTAACGACAGCGAGCAGTTTTTCCTTCATATTTTGGTCGCGTTGTGTATATGTTTTCAGAAACCGATCCCCCATGACGCCGCATCAAACAAAAATGCACGCAAATAATTTAATATGCACGCAAATAAAACGCAAGAAATGTACGAGTTAACGTTACTTACATCGTAACGAAAATGCCATGATATCTTTATTACGACGATAGTGATTATATCTTTATTACGATGATAGTGATTACCGAGTACGAGTAATTGTGAAACAACTTACAACTAACGCTACCGATTGTAAACAAATAATTTGAGTCGAAAGAGCAGGGATTTTTAAATGTGATAAACTGCTACATTTTTCTAAACGTCGCTTTGCTTATTTATATCACCTGCTCAATTTTGTTCAAGGTCAATCGCTCCATAATTGTATACGAAACACCGGCAATTCATAATTGTACAAGAAACAGCCTCGGCTTCGCTTCCGCGTTTCTTGTGATCCCCAGTCTACGGCCGGTTTATTCAAAGGACTTCATTCAGTTATTTAGCAGCGTATTCCTTCAGGGAAACAAAATGATCCGAAAATAGCGCTAAAACGCAGATAGGACAAGAATTAAATTTATGGCTTTTGTGCACCCAGACGCATTCACTTTCATTCCGCACCCGGACATTTGGCAGTGTGATATATCGCCGCGATTAAATTCGACGCACGACCTTTCGCCACGAAGACAATTCGACGGAAGACCTTTCGCCGCGGGAAATTTTGACGTTAGGACATTTCGGTTTTAGACAGTTTGTATTGAGACATTTTGACTTTGCGACATTTTGCCGCAAGACGTCTGGTCGCGGACACTTCGCCGCAAACGCATTCGGCGCGCTTAATTTTCGCGGGTTATCCTGGGTTTCTTGGAAGGTTTTCTTCGGTTTTCTTAATTTTCTTTGGTTTTTTAGGCTATTTTCAGGTTTTACTTTAACTGTTCTCAGGTTTTGTAGGTTATTTTGAGGTTGCTCAAGGGTTTCTTAGGTTCCTTAACATTATAACACAGCATGTCTACACTACATTAGGAGAATCTAACAGTCTTGCTTAGCCTGCGAAATCCAGGGTAAGGAACGCATTCCGCTGTTGTCCAGCTGCATCATTCTATCCACAGTTAACTGCACAAAGGTACACAGCGCTCTAACCGAATTCTCCCTGCGTACATCGTGATAAATTTCATAGTGACCAGGCCAGAAGCAATGGGGGAACGCCGCTCCCTCCTGCCATCCCACACCACAGTGCACCCCACGGAAACACAGCCAGAACATGCGCTCGGGAAAACAGGCCACCCCGTCAGCCTGCATTTTCTTGGACAGAAAAAACAAGTTCCACTCCTGCTGGTGCTCTCCCGTCCGTTCACGGCCAAACCAACGGCCCAGAAGCCCTTTGACGATCAGCACTACTTTGGGATTGGCATTCGCTGTCAGCACTGCGCCGTAATCCAGCTCCGCTCCCAGTTCGAATTCAGTGCGTCCGTTAAATACGACGTACCCGGCATTGCTCGGGAAAAGAGTGCGTAACACTAGCAACCATTCCACCAACCAGTCGTAGTTAGAAAACCGGCCTCTCAACAGCATAGCGGTCCATAGTAGCGCGCGTGTTCTGCAGCAGTGACTCGACGGTTAAGGTTTCCAAGTACGCCCGGTGTCTATGAAACGCGTATCGTGCTAATTCTTTTAACATGGAATTTAATGAATAATTATATTGTAAAAGAAACCACTAGATACACCGCTCTTCCTGTTTCATTTTACATAGTGTCACGAGTACGACTGGTTGAAGTATAGTTTGTATGGACAGTCATACTGTGATGTGGTTTGCAACGGAAGGAAGTGGCCAAAAAGTATCAGCCAATTAGTATTGTGTTAAGTGTAGTATACTGAGTTCACGTGTTTATTGTACTTCTAATACTTTCCTATTTCTGTCCCTTGTCCTTGTCTTCTTAGCAACTTCTCTTGTGTTTTCCCTGTTCTCTAGTTACGATTCCTCAGTTTCCTTTCAGTTGTTTTCCTGACCAGTGCGATACAATAAAGATACGATTCCTACGCATGACAATACATGACATTAAGTATACTTTAATCTTTCATAAAACAATCAATAAATTGTTGACTCATGGTTTGTTTATGAGTGCTTTTGAGTTAAAGGCGTGTTCTCCCATCTTTCATACTTTGGATCGGAAATCACTGAAGTGCTTGAGGGAGAAGAACTTCTTGTAAATGAATTAATGTCATCTTGCATGGCTAGCAGCTCTGGAATATCTTGTCTAGAAAGTGTTCTCTAGAATGTCTTCTTAGCCTTGATGTTGTTGCAGTGTTAGCTTCAATCAGTTTACATAAAGGTCAACGTTAGCAGAACGATTGGGTTAGCGTCGCATCTGAGTTAACTATTCAGTAAAGGTCATTCACCACCATAAACCATCAGTACAGAGGGTTATTCAGCCAAGTGTGGACACTTCGAAAAAAAATTCCTTACAAATTTCATTTTACGAGAAATGTTGTCATAAGCATATCAGTACAACGACTAATTAGTCTGGATGTTTTTTGCAAATTTTGGTGAAAATCCATTGTAAAATGCTCGCCATAGTGGCTGTTGACCAAAAGACTCCGACTTCTACCCCTTGACCAGTCAAAATTTGGCTTTTGATTATCTGGCCTTAAAAGGATCGTCTGTTTTTCGAATCTGGATGGTTTTAATTGTTAGAAACGGCGATCCGAATATTTTTTATAGCAAAAACGATTTCAAATTATTGCGGGTTCGTGTGGTAGGACGGTTTGAAAAAACGCAAAAACAGGAAGAGACCCGCAGGAGCCATGCTCATTGCGCGAATTCTTATGCACGGAACTATAGGTATCCTTTTCGTCCCTCCATAGAATAAAATTGTAAAACAAGTCTTTCTCTACCATTTACAATGTTCACTGGTCGAGAAAGACGCTCCCCGGATCAACCCTGGCAGGGAAGAAGAAGTCATCCAGAACCAGAGATGTGATCCCGGGAGCACTGCTGAGAAAACAACGATGCTGCTTGCCAATCGAAAAACTAGTTCCTTTTGAAAAATGATTGTTCGAAACCCCTGATAGGTTTTCAATAGAGTATGGCAAAACCTAAATTTTAGATTATTTTTTGAATAAAGGGGATCCATTTCCTATAGCTCAACTGGTCAACTGTTGCCAACATGGGGGGGACAAACTTAATTTTTTCCTGAGCTACAGGATGACGAAATCTTGACTCGGTTGAATTTAAAGTATGACTGGATGTTGTGGCTACCTAATAAAATTTTTAAAAAAGTAAAATGAGCTTGCGACGGCTAAGCAGAAATGTTTTAAAAAGTGTCCACATTGGTTGAATAACCCTCTGTAGTTTACTCTATTGACAATAGACACCCTTTCTTGTTTTGTAAACGCTAAACACATTCACTGAAACTCCTGCTGCCCTTCATGACTGATATGCACGAACGCTCCCCTTGATCATACATCATGCTCATTAATAAAGAAAAATGCTTGTAAGAAAGTTAGCGTGAAGTGTTCTCAACGAAGGAGAAGGGATACGCTAAAAAAATGTTTGCGTGATGCAGTGATACGTGCATGCAGATAAGAGAAACACGAACACTGATAATAAAATGAAGTTGAAACGTACTGTTCGCGCGTCATGTTTTTAGCGCCTCCCAACTTGCGGTGCATGGTAACCTGCAAAGGGAGAGTTATCGAGGGTGGCACGCATTCTCCACAAATTTGGTACAAGACGCTAAGTTCCGTTCAAAACAGCGATTAAGCTAGAAGGCTTTTCGGCGGAACTGTTCAAGCAGGGAACATCCTGTTGCCCGCCACAGCAGGATGTCCCCTGGGAACAGACAGGGATTCCGCACCAGTACCAGTTTCCTTAAGAGAGGCGTGGCTACGCCGTCGATGCTCGGGGCGAAGTACACTTCCCCCTCCCGCAACTGCCCGTCTTCCGCTTCGTTGGGATCGTTCACCGCGAGCAAGAAGCGGGACTCTTCCACCACGACGCTCAGTTTCGTCTTGTCCCCGTTGTTCTTCTCCTTTACGCTTTTGTGCATGATGTGACGGCGAACCACGTTCAGCGCATCAGTAACCTTTTTCGACTTGAATCCTTTCTCGGTGAGTTCACTGACCTCCGCGTGCTTGCCTACACCGCTCAGCACCTTGAAAGCCACCACGGGGTCCTTGTACATGTCCTCCAGACGTTGATAGTGCTCTTCTTGGACTTCCAGCAACGCTTCGTCGGGTATGCCCAAAGCCGAGAGCAGCGCGACAATCTGCTGGTTCAGTTTGCCGTAGATGTACGGTCGGGAAGCCCCTGACGGCTGGACGACGCAGAAGGAGTCGTCTTCGCATGGGAACTTGTCCTGCCACTTCCAGAACACCACGTCGGTTGTGATCGACGGGTTCACGGCCAGGGCGCCTTTGAAGCCGCGGTAAGGGATCTGGATGACGCTCAGTACCAGCAAACGATCGTCGAAGCGGAGATTCGAAGCGTGGGTAACGTTTTGCATGAGCCTTGGCGAGATCCACCTGAACACGTATTTGCTCACTGAATAATATTACAAACGCTCGTTGGGTTATTGAAGCTCCTACATTACTGCACAGTCATTAATCGAACAAGATTAATTGGTAATAAAATGTTTCTCTAATTTAACTACGCTTCCATAATTTCCTTTCTGAATTTTGGTATAAAGCGACACTATAATTTACTAAAACTCGCTTTTGCACTTTATTAACACTTAAATACTGATCTGATCGTGGGTTTTTTCTAAAGTAAAGTGTAAATGGCATCTGCTTGTACAAATTAAAAATTCCTTTAATACTCGTACATTAAAACTTTGACACTATCATAATTACACTCGCTCGCTCGTTCTACTGCTTTTATGAAGCAACGTTTAGCCAATAGCCATAGCACTGTTATGTAATGTGCCCGCGCTGGAAATTTAATACTACGGTGGTATCGAGTAATTTGCCTATTAACCGCGGTTGGACAGAGATTTTTGTCGTTTTTTCAGTGTTTAAAATTTTCGAAGTGGCTATTTTACCCCAGTCTTCGTGGCAAAATAGCTTTTGGCGATTTTGCCCCAGTGTGCGGGGCAAAATAGCCTTCTGCTATTTTGCCACACTGGGGTAAAATAGCCATAGCACTGTTATGTAATGTGCCCGCGCTTGAAATTTTTTTGTCATTTTAATGGCTATTGCCTATCAAGACCTTAACACTCGCACTAAGATCAATGCAGACTGACCCGCATCCGTCGGTGAAATTCTGGCCGTTTCCTCAATGTCGTCTTCACGGGATACCCGTCCTCGTGTCCCTTCCCCTTCCAAGGCAGCTGAAAACCCGGTTGCGCACTGCTGAGGAGCTGTCCGAAGCGTTTGGCTACTTTCGCTGCGCTCGTCAACTTGGAGAAATCCCCTAACCTGTTCCATTCCGCCCAACACTCCTCCTTACTAGCTGCAAACATGTCCTCTTCTTCAGCTGGCTTTCGGAGTAAACGAAGAAGTTGAATTCTTGTCCGTTGACGCGGATAGCGTTCTCCAGCACTTCTTCAATGTACTTGCGGACTTCTTCGTTGCGATTCAGGGTTGGCGCGTTCTCCGTCCTCTCGGCTGGTTTAAAGTGGAGATTCTGGAAGCAGACCGAGAGTAGCATGTCGGGATGGTAGCGCTTGAGGACGCGGTTCAGTTCGGCAAAGGACCAGTTCAGCGTCATCTCCACGGCGGGATAATTCAGCGCACTGCAGTTCAAACGCAGCACCTGGATTTCCTTGATAGGATTATCTGGATGTTTACATCGCGGCATAACAGTCATGACTCGTATCACTACGGCTTTATTATCTGGATCTTTCTCTCTCACTGGATTCTTTGAGTCATGGAAATTGTCGATGGAGATGCTCGTCTCCGATAGATCCTTCAGTAGTCCCATTTTGGGTTGTCCAAATCGATGCACACTGCAGAGGCAGGTCAAAAAAATAAGTAAGCTGAAGGATTTTCGCAAAATCTCAATGTAGCCAAACGAGATTTTTGGAATACACTGCAAGTGCAGTTTGAATCAGATCACTCAAACGCGTTTAGAGGTACGCGTGTTAAAGCTACCCTATGCGTGTCCCAGGCAGTGGAAATCGGGCGAATGTTAAGCAGCGTTTTGATCTAGCCGCAGTTAATGTACGGCTGCGATCAAGTAATGTACAGATACTAGCGCTTGCAAGTTACTAGTTATTACTTATTACATTACCACAAAGTTTTCGTTTCTAATCTTGTAATTTTTCCGCATCTTTTCATCTGAGTTATAGAAGTACTCGTCTGAAGTATAGCGTTACAGAACCGCTCGACAAAGTAAGTACTATTTAATTTTAAGTACTTAAGCAACGGATCGAGTAAAATCGAAGGAAACATACGTGAAAATACCGAAACTGCGGGGGTTGCCTAGTACACCGCGGTAGGCGGCAGGCGCACATGTCTTGTCGTGCTTTAACGCTGCTGGAATCTAGCACGTAGCACAACCGCACTATGGGGCCAGTAAAAAAGTAAAAACGAGTATTCTTCTGTCAGCCGTTGTCACACGCCGTTTTCAGTTTTGTCACACTTCTCAGAGTGACTTCAGTGTTTTCCACTCTCCAGTTCTGCGTGTTGTGAATTGTTGTCCTCGAGAAACATTTACAGTGATTTACCTATTTGTCTCTCGTCAACGGAAACCCACCATTGTGAATAGGTTGCTTATTTAATTTTCTGTAAGGCAGTAAGTGGTGATTGAGTTGGTAAGTGTCATGTGGATATTCGAAACTGAAACTGCGGTGAAAACAGTGTGTGTGGGTTGCAGTGAAGAGCGCCATGTCGCTCGTGCGGAGACCCAGCCAGGAGTTGAGCGAGAAACAGTTTGGGAAACTGTCGTTTTCCGACACGAAGGTTTCCTCTCGTCGACCGGATAGTGTCCGTAATTCTGTGGGCATCGTGGCGTCCGTGGAACGGGAGGAGAGCGCTGTGGCGCGACGTTTCGCGGGTGGATTCGCTGTTCTGCAGGTATTCCGAAATTAGCAGGGTGAACCGATCCTTGACGGAAATCAGTTTGCGAAGGCCTCGAAAATTTTAACTCGTTAAAAAATATTCGTTGCTCTATGTGTATGAGCCAGTAGTTTATAATATTAATTTATGGACTGCTCAGACAGACACTTATCTGAGATCGAATTAACTGAATTAGTATACTAACCAGGGCTCGGTCACCACCTACCCCCTCAGAAAAATCATCTTTTGTTTGAAGACAGAATAGGTATGGGGAACACTTAAAAAAGACTTCCTTTGGCAATGGTCCAGTGGGCGTGACCAAACACGAATTTAATGGTTGACAATATTGCATGTACAGTGAAACCCCTCTTAACGTACACCCTTTTATAACGTTCACCCCTTTATTATGTGCGTACGGCTGGGAACCGGACTGTCCGGCATATTATAACATAGGGGCAGTTCTCTGTATAACGTTCACCCCTCTACAAGTATAACGTACACCTATCATGGAACGGCAGACCATATTTAACGTACATTCAACCCCTGCGTTACGTACACCCGGCTAAGAAAGAGAAGCAACAATTCCAAAGAAATTTCCGGTTTCTAGTTTTAAGTCTGTCCAATTCCGGATCTTGCGATGCAAAACAGCCCAACGATAAAAAACAACACTTCATGCATAGTTGGGAACTTTAGCTGTCAGTAACGGTACTGTAGCTGTTTAAAAATGCACGCTAAACGTAAGCGTCAGAGCTTCTCTTTGGAGGAAAAGCTGGAAATCATTAACGCCGTTAAGTCAGAGAAGCTCAGTTATTGCAGTGCTGCTAAAAGATTTAATATGCCGGCCACACAAATATACAACTACACTTGCTAGTTGCTACAGACAGAATTATAACTCACCCCTGGGGGGGGGGGCGTTATTATTCGCCCCTAGGGGCAGTGCCCCTACCTAACGTACACCTCTTTGTAACGTTCAGGAAGCTAGGAACGGAGGGTGTACGTAGTAGAGAAGTTTCACTGTATTGCCATTGCCGTATTGCTGTACATGATTATGGTGTTACACATTACACCGATAATATTATTTTGCGAGTTCTGAGTTATCTATTAGCACAGTAGTTTTACTCCTTGATTTGTTTTACTTCCTAATTCACTGTTTTAAAAAACTGAAATTGTTAGCGAACTTGCCAATGGCGACTGTACTGAAACCTGAGCAGACCGTGTGCTGCATTTCCATGCATTTTAGAGCTTGATACGTGGCGAGATTCGTTAAAAATGCTACTTTTTCAAAACAGTGATTTAGGAAGCAAAATCCAATCAGGGAGTAAAACTACAGTGGTAATGGATATTGGATACCACAACTCGCAAAATAAATTTATCAGCGTAATCTGTAACACCATAATTATGCACAGCATTACGGCAATGACAATACTGAATACATGCAATAATGTCAGCCATTAAATTCGTGTTTGGCCACGCCTATCGGACCATTGCCGATGAAAGTATTTTTTTAAGTGTTCCCCATATCTATTCTGTCTCCAAACAAAAACCGAGATTTTTTTGAGGGGGGAGGTGGTGACCGAGCCCTGGTGAATGTCTTAACTGTACTTGCTTTGTGTTGGTTGCTTTTGGTAGATAAAAGAACTTCTTACAGGGTGCCACAAAAATTTTTTAGTTATAGAGAGTTGAAATAGTAGTAAGTATTAGAAATAAATGATTTTGTTTAAAATTATTCTCATTCACTGTGATTTACAAATGATTGCGCCTGAAATACGAAATCCTGAAAACTCCGTTCCATTTATCATGGGAAAGAAACAGTTTATAATTATTTTCATTAAGCATAATTTTATTGGAATTTAGTGACGGTTTGACTTATTTGACTGTTATACCTTACTGGGGCAGAGGATAGTTCGAGGTATTACCGTCAGTTTTCGCTTGATTTTTCAGAAAGAAATCTGTTGATTCAAAGAATATCAATAACTCCACACTGGTATGTGCAGGCTGGCAACGTAGCCGAGAGTCTGGTGAAGGCCTTCCTGGGCGCCGACGAACGCGCGCTGCGGAAGGTGCAGAGTGTGTCGAACGGGAAGCAGCTGCTGGATGCCTGTGTGGGATACCGCGTTGACGTCTTCGGCGTGCTGACCAGCACACTGCTGCCCGATTTAGCGGCGCTGTGGACAGCTGCTGCCGTGCGCGACGCACCACCACTGTCCGCTCCTGTCTGCCCTGCTTTTGATTTTTCCCTCGTAAGTCCTGATTTTTCCCTGGTAAGCCTTGAAACAGTCACCTTTTGCAGGCTGCCCTGCACCAGAAGTTGGGAAGCGCTAACATCATGACGCACGAACAGTAAGTTTTCCACTTATAACGATTTAATGGAGACGCTTTACCAGGATACTGGAAAATTTTTTGGTAAACATAGAATATTTTCTACTTTTTTTGGTTTGATTTCTGCGACAAAAGTTTCGTAGACACCGTGCGTACTTGGACAACTTAACCGTGGAGTCACTGTTGAAGAACACGCGCGCTACCATGGACAAGTACGCTCTTGAGAGACCGGTTTCTAACAAGGAATGGTTGGTGGAATGGTTGGAAGTGCTGCGTATTCTGTTCCCGCGAAATGCCGGGTACGTCGTGTTTAGCGGACGCACTGAGTTTGAATTGGGCGCGGAGCTGGATTACGGCGCAGTACTGACAGCGGATTACAGTCCCAAGGTGGTGCTGATCGTCAAAGGGTTCCTGGGCCGGTGGTCTGGCCGCGAGCGGACGGGTGAGCACCAGCAGGAGTGGGACCTGTTTTATCTGTCCAAGAAAATGCGGGCTGACGGAGTCGCCTCTTTTCCCGAGCGCATGTTCTGGCTGTGTTTTCGTGGGGTCCACTGTGGCGTTGGATGGCAAGAGGGAGAGGCGTTCCCCCAGCGCTTCTGGCCCGGTCACTATGACATTTACTACGACGTGCGCAGCGAGGATTCGGTCAGAATGCTGTGCAGCTTTGTTAAGGGGGTTGTGGATAGAATGGTGCAGAATTATTATGCTGATGACGGTGAAAAAGCTGTAGTGTTTTCGACTGTCCTTACTTGTAGCTGAAACTTGTAAGGGTGTTTTGTACTGTCATAGTCCTCACTATTTTGTAGCTATCCCTTATAGTTACTGTTATGTATGTTCCCTAATGTTCATGTTTTTCATGTTTGTTCCCTATAAACGTTGATGGCCAGTGGCTCGTTGCAGAGGCAAGGCAGATAGAACGCTTCTCGCATCTATACTACAGTACTACGAGTATATATGTAGAGTACTACGAGCGGCTTCGATGACAGAAAAGTTGGAAACACGAAATATCAGAGTTATTTATCAGAATTTTGTTCGCAGTTTTGAATACAAAAATAAAAAATATTTTGCATTAATTTTAACCTTTTGGTCTGCGTAAAAATTTTATATCCAAACATTGTGTCTGTTCTATAAAATTCTCTAAAGCTCCACGGATAAACAAAGGCAGATAAACGGATAAACTTCCATACTGGAGATTTCTTTGCTTCCGATTTTTTGTCGAACATGCACTGTTCTACCACAAAAACTTCTGCGTGCATACTGAATAATTACCGGATACATAAAGTTTCTTGGCGTTCAAATACAGAAAGCAAGGTGGATAGTTAAGGGTGGATAGGTTTATCCCTTATTCACCTTGCAGAAAGTATCCGTGAAACTGCATTTCTATCAGATAATTCGACGTCACGTAAAAGAACGGCATGAAAGAAAGTGTCTCTTTGCCGCCTTTATCATTTTGTCATTTCCTCATTAACCTTGGACATATTAAAACGCGCAGTACTCATGCCGGTACAGTCTTACACGATGGGACCTAGTTGCCGGTTTTTTTTAAATCGGTTGGCAAGTCGAGCGGGCACAAACTACAGTAGCACTATTTCCACCGAAGATGGTGTGCGAGTCACGGTCGTGGAGACTACGGAGCAGTTCTACGCTCATCCTGATGCTCCGCCACTGCACTCGGATCTGCTGCATGACGGCACGCCCAGTTTCACGCGCACGGGGCCCACTGGAAACTACAACATGTACAGTATAATTGCTGCTCTCCAACCTCAGACTGTCATGTAAACTGGGGCAGGCTTCTAATTTAAGTAATTAACGGTGCTTAAGGGATTTGGCCCGGTACATAGCGCTAAAATCGTGCACATTGACGAGAATATTCGCTTTCGCGCACTTCCAAACACTTTTTTGGGTTGCTTTTTGACATTGTGTAGCCAAATGCTTGGTGTACATAGGCGTGAAATCCGTTTTCGCGCGCAACATCCGGTTGCGGAGTTATGAGGGTAATAAAATTCCAAAAAGTTTAAATGCAATCAGGTGTACCAAAAGTCTCATTATGGACCGATCCCTTTCGAATTTTGCACGGAAATGCACATAATCATGAAGATCGTTTTGACACGGATCCACTGTTCTAACATGTTTTTCAAATTTTAAAATGAATTTCAAAAATTTTAAAATTCATTTTAAAATTTGAAAAAAATCGTAGAAGTCTGGATCCGTGTCAAAACGATCTTCATGGTTGTGTGCATTTACGCGCAAAATTTGAAAGGGATCGGTTCATAATGAGACTTTTGGTATACCTGAATGCATTTAAACTTTTTGGAATTTTGATACCCTCATAACTTCGCAACCGGATGTTGCGCGCGCAAATGGTTTTCTCACCTAGATAAACAATTCTTCTGGCTACAAAATACCATAAAGCAATGCAAAAAAGTGTTTGGGAGCGCGCACCAGCGAAACTTCCCCTGGATGTTCACGAACTTGGTGCTATGTACCGGGCCAAATCCCTTAATGTGCGTAGTACGCTTTGCCGTGGCTTTTACATCTTCCTGTCACCCAGTGTAGGTTAGTTCAGTTTAATCACTGAGCAGGCTTTAGACAACCTCTCAAACCATTCAGAAGTGTGATCGTTGTGTCACTTGTGTATAAAAACATGAATATTAGGGAACATACAAAATCACAAAACAGTCCGTTTTATAATTTTATTACGGAACAGTGAGGGCTGAGAAATATGTACAGAGTACTACAATTCTACAAAGCATCTGTGACTTGCATGCAGCCTTGAAGTAAAGACTCTTCCTTCGTGAGATGTAGAGCCGGGAGTTCATGTTTTAACTCGATTATGTCATTGCAGGTCGCCGCCATTTGTTCAGCGTAGAACGCACTAATACAAAACAAATACATGCGAACACGTAAATCTCATTATTTGTCCCACTACTTAACAGAATCGACAACTGCGCCCCTGCCACACTGCATCATTCTATCCAGAACTAACCGTACAAAGTTACACAGCACTTTAACGGAATCCTCCTTGCGCACATCGTGGTAAATATCGTCTTCATGTGGCCAGAAGCGTTGGGAAAGCGCCTCTCCCTCTTGCCATCCACAGCCACAGTGCACCCCACGGAAACACAGCCAGAACAAGCGCTCAGGGAAACATGCGACTCCGTCAGCCCGCATTTTCTTAGACATGTCCCACACGTGCAGCTCTTGGTGGTGTTCACCAATCCTCTCCATCCCCCGCCAACGGCCCAGGAACCCTTTGATGATCAGCACCACTTTGGGATTGCAACCCGACGTCACAACGGCCCCGTAATCCAGCTCGATGTCGAAAAATTCACCAAGGTCCTCCACCACGTCGTAGCCGGCACATTTCGGGAACAGAATGCTCAACATCTTCAGGTATTCCACCAACCAGTCGTAGTCGAAAGACGGGCCGTGAACAGCGTAACGGTCCAGGATAGCACGCGTGTTATGCAGCAGTGACTCCACGTCTAAGGTCTCCAAATACGCCCGGTGTCTACGAAAGATCCAGTAATTGTATATCATATCAGGAGAAAAAAAACATTTTTCTAATTTAGTCCGTATTCACTGAATCTCATGTTTTTATTGAACCTTGGGATTGATGCGCACGAAAGGCATCAATCATGAGGGCAAACCATGGTCGTATTACGCTTTACAATTTTTCGAAATTAATTTTACAGTTATTAAGAACGAAAAAGCGAGCAAAAACGCATATAAATTCAGCGTGAAAGGTGGCCCGGCGAAGGAGATCGCATGCGCCCAGAAACGCTAATACTAGGCGTAGGCGTATCTAAATACGTATACCTATTCAGACTGGCGAAACACGAACAGCATGCACAAAAGTGACAAAACGAAGTAGGAATTGCAAACTTACTGTTCGGGAGTCATATTCTTGGCGCTTCCCAGCTTCCGGTGCATGGTAACCTGAAAAATGAATCGTGCCTACTCTAAAGTAGCTACCGAGTGAGGTCTAGTTACTGCACGAATATCAGTACAGTACTCTACAACGTTCTTCTTTATAATTCCCTTAAATTAACAGTAAGTTTGTCATTGTCGACTGTCGTAGACGTAAGGTACGAGTGGCAATCGTCCTTAGCGCAAACTTCGCGGTTAATGCGTGCTAGTGAATCTGCATTCTGCACCTTTACGTCAGAAAATACGGGACAAGCTCGTACATACTGTATACGAGTACAGAGAATAAATGAACCCTTGCGGAAGTACTTTCCAGAAAGCGCCGCTACACAGACCTACGCTGCGAGAGCTTACCAGGGGAAGATCGAACCCTGAACAAATGGGAGCAAGAAATGTTGCTGCCTCCCGCATCAAAGCTGCTGCCCACAAAGCCGTCAAATCTGGCAGTTTCTTGCCGCGCAAGGCAAAGACGTCCAGGCCGTATCCCTCACAGACAGCCAACAACTGCTTCCCATTCGGCTTCCACAGCACGCGTTTGTTGACACCGAGGAATGCCTTCACGAGGTTCTCTACTACACTGTCAGCCTGTAAACAGTGTTAATTTATTACGAGTTGCATCTCAAGAGTTTTACCCTTGAGTCTTTGGGTTTACGGACTTTATTGGTCAAATCAATGCCACAATACACAAATTTGAAGACAAAAAACACGCTAAAAAAAGAAAAAAAAGCACGCGTCTTTGGGTAGTTCCATAATGGAACGAGGTATACGATTAGTGGAAATAACTCTCAGGCAATTTCTAATTACAACGAGTTCTCTTCATATTCTGTGTGAGTGAAACTGGCTTGCGCTAATAAAAACCATTACAACGAGCGAGGAACACCCAAATCTGTATGGCTAGTGAGAAGCAGAAACTCCATATCTCATATACAATATTTAAGTGTTTTCGTATATATATATTTGCATATTCAGATTCCGAGGAAATTTTTCTGGGTAGATAATACGGGTTATGACAGTCAGGTTATGCGAGGAATAATAATATGCAAGTTGCAGCTTGCTGAGATCAGCATTAATCTGTTAAAACTGCTAAAACCTGCTAAATCTGCTAAAACCAGAAACGCGAAGTTTTTTCGTCTAGTCGTACCAAAACACCGCGAACACAATTCAGGGTAAGCTGCTAATCGTACTGCTAGAGCTTAAAATAAGTGAGTAGTGATAATTCATTAACTGATTGGCCTGAAGTTGAACTACAAATTATATACATTAATAAAGAAGACGGGTTAGCAAATGAACAAAGACAAACATCAATGAAATCACGGGAATACCTGCAGAGCCGCGAATCCACCTGAAAAGCGTCTAGCTAGAGCTTTATCCTCCACGGAGAACTTCTTTCCCAGAGAAACACGGTCGTCGTCCGCATGACGAAAAGGTAGATTCGTGTCGGACTGCGGTTTTGCATCCTGTTTCTCGTTCAATTCCTGGTTGGAACTCCGCTCGATCGACATTTCGTTGCTCACTACAAACACATGGATTTTTTTTTTATTCCGGCTGGAATCACGTCTCATCTGTCGTTACCTTTCGGGATACGTAGTAAATCCAGCAAACGACGTGAAGTGGAGCTCCAAACACGAGTGTACGAGATCACGAGTAACGCTTACCACTACGTTCTTACTTATTTACCTTTAAGGTGTGTGTTCGTTGAGAAGGGACACACTGTCACACACAGCACACAGCTTTCTTGAATAAAAGTTTCTATCTGGAGGAAGTTTCTACTAACTACATTAGTCTACATATAAGTACTGATTTACCCACAAATGCGACAAACCTGCGACAAAGCTCACTTTTGAAAACTTCATACTACTGCACAACGGTTGAACTGTTGAAAAATGAGTTTTCATTTCAACTCGTCCTGCAGGGCGGTTGACAAGGCTGTGGGACGATCTAGCACAACCGCACTCTGGGGCCAGTTGCAAGGAAAACTCGTCTGTCAGCCGTTGTAACATGCAGTTTCGACACTTTTGTCTTTTGAATCTTTTCCACTCTCCAGTTCGGCGCGTTGTGATTTGTTCTTAAAAAAAATAGAAATACTCAGTATTGTTTTGTCTCCCGTCGACGGAAACCACCGCTTATATTTTGATTATTAAATCTCTGTAAGATAAGTGGTAATCGAGCTGCTTAGTGTGATTGGAAGATGGAAGCTGAAACTACGCTGAAAACCGTGGGTGTTGCAGTGAACAGTTACAGCGCCATGTCGCTCATGCGGAGACCAAGCCAGGAGTTGAACGAGACACAGTTGGGGAAACTGTCGTTATCCGACACGAAGCTGCCCTCTCGTCGCCAGGACGCTGGCTGTAATTCTCTGAGCAACGCGTCGTCGGTGGAACAGGAGGAGAACGCTGTGGCGCGACGGTTCTCGGGTGGAATCGCCGTTCTCCAGGTAATTACAATTCGTTATTACTGCTGTTATAGCAGACTGACAGAAATGGAAATTAATTTCTGGGTATCATTTTCCAGTAATCAATACAGTTAGAAAATTAAATAAAGGGTTTTCTCACTTTTAATTATGAAATCAAATATTGTTATAATAAATAGATACCAAGCTAAATGACAGAATCTGTTTTGATTTTGAGGTATTTATTTAATAATTTGATCAAAAAAGTAATTAATATTGCGACATTGTTGATGGCAGGCTGGCAGTGTAGCCGAGAATCTCGTAAATGCCTTCCTGAGTGCCAACCAACACGTGCTGCAGAAGGTGCAGAGTCTGCCGAATGGGAAGCAGCTGCTGGATATCTGTGAGCTTTACCGATCGGACGCCTTCAGCGTACTCACCAAATTCCTGCCTGATTTAGCGGCGCTGTGGACAGCGGCTGCGATGCGCGACGCAGCACCAGTGTACGTTTCGATATTCTCCGGTCTCGATCTTTCCTTGGTAAGCCCTGATTTTTCCCGGATTTTGTTGGCTTAAGAAGCTTATTTTTCTGAAATTACTCTAAAGTAACAATAATAAGACACCTCCCTTAATCAAGTTTGGCTACTTCTACGGTAATGCGATATATTAATTAATAATCACATTAATCAGTGTTTGATTGTACAGGTATTAAATTTGACGGTAAAGCCGTTTGCTCGATCACACTTTGTTAAGTGTGAACCGTGAAGCGCTTCTGTTGTAGCAAGCATTACCGCTCGTTGTTTTTCACGCTTGTTGCACATATCGTATTAATTTCTTTGTGCCGTCAAGACAGATCAGGGAAGGCAGTTCAGTTGATTGTTATGTTTTTTCGCCAATCGGGTTTCAACGATATATTTTCATTTTTTTAAATTTGTTGCTGAAAGGAAGACAAAAAATTTTGTACATGTGATCTAAAGTTCTGTGTTGCATCGTCTTATGACCCCCCTTTTGCAGGTCAACACGCACCGAATGCTGGGAGGCATTAACCGCATGACGATACACGAAAAGTAAGTTCCCACTTTCTATTTCTTCGATTCTAAGTTAAAAAAAAATCGACACTGTAAATTATAGTAAGCAGTTTTTCCCGTTTTTGCCTTATTAACGAGTTGATTTGCTGAACGATTCTTTGTGTGTTATAATCTTAAACCCTAACTAACACTGCATTCGGCGTCTGTATTTATCTGAGAGGAAAAGCGTTGCGTTTAATATTCAAAAAATACTAAAAGATGCCAGTAAAAGCAAGGGGACAAAGCGTCGCGTAGAGTGATTTCTTTCAAGATATCGTCCTCGGTGAAATACGTAGATCATAATAAAACGATGCTTTTAAAGCATCTCATCTCGAATTGCTTATACAGAGTACAGCACTCCGAGGGAGCTTACGACTGTACAGGTTGAAAAACGATGCAGGGTCACGAACCAACTAATTACGATTAACAGAATCGAGAAACACCAGTTCACTGTGCGGCCAGATCGCAGGCCTAATTTTTTAGACGTCGTCCCGTTCGAACGGAAGAAGAAACGAAATTAAAATCAGGTTTAGAAAATTAATAGAATTGGCAGCTTCCGATAATGTGGCTAGTCATGCCACCCTCATGTTGAGCTGATCATAACACGTAGCCACACATGGTAACCGCGGACCGTTTAGACAACATTCATCCGTTTTAATATAAAATCATTAAATTGGTTCGTAGACACCGGGAGTATTTGGAGGACATAGACGTGGCGTCACTGCTGAAAAAGGCGCTCGCGAACGCTATCATGGACCATTACGCTGTGCATCCTCCGATGTGGAACTACAGCTGGTTGGTGGAATACATGAAAGTGCTGAGCATTCTGTTCCCGGAGTGGGCCGGCTACGACGTGGTGGACGGAATAGGTGAATTTTTTGACGTCGAGCTGGTTTACGGGGCGGTCGTGACGACGGGTTGCAATCCCAAAGTGGTGCTGATCGTCAAAGGGATCATGGGCCTTTGCCGGGGAATAGAAAGGATTGATGAGCACCACCAGGAATTGAACGTTTGGGATATGTCCAAGCGGATGCGCAAAGACGGTGCCGCGTGTTTTCCCGAGCGCATGTTCTGGCTGTGTTTCCGCGGGGTGCACTGTGGTGTGGGCTGGCAGGAGGGAGAGGCGCTGGCCCAACGCTTCTGGCCCGACGAAGACAGCATTTACCAAGACGTGCGCAAGGAGAGTTCGATCAGAATGCTGTGCAGCTTTGTGCAGTTGGTTGTGGATCGAATGATGCAGTGTGGCGTCCCCTCTCGCGCACTGGTACATTCTGTAGAGGGGCGTGATCCGTAAGGGGGAGAATGGTTTCGGCTGTGGTGTTTTTTTTGTTGCCTCTATATCGAGCCGAAAGTCTTTTGTAATCGTTCTTCGCTATTAATTATATTTTGCAGTTAGTGCTCCTAAAAGTTGCTGCTTTTTGTTGTCAGTGCTTTTATATAACGATTAGACTTGTGCTAGTGCCTCCAAAGAGTTTGCCTGCTCATTAGTCAATGAGTAAACCCCACCTTCTTCACTTGCATGATACAACCGGTACCGACATAGTGTGTAGTGCGTACAAGACTGCAGGCACGGTAGGTAAGTTGCTCCTTGCGAGAGTGCATGGCGACTGATGGCGTAGTATAAAACAACACAGCCGTACTTTGCGATTACTTTTAAAAGTATAAAACTTTATTATCAACTTGTACAAGCCAGTTGCCATTTACGTTCAAACTTTAAATACCCAATAATCAGAACAAGAAAAATAACTCTTCTAACTCTCGGGAACACCCGACCGTCCCCAGGACAGAAGCCGCGTTTCCGCGCTGAATTTCCACACTTATACGTTGCCACAAATACGATTACTTTATTCGGCTAGTTGTCTCGAAACAACAAATGTGTTGTTAGTACTAGTATATCAGGCATAATTTCGGCGTTATTTCGCATAGCAACACTTCCTGAGTTCTGACCGGGGCTCGTAAATATCTACCGGTAGTTCTTTCAACCACTTTTTTATCTTCGGACCTACAGAGAGGTTTGCTCCTCAAAAGGCTGAATAAACAATGCAAGATAAAATATACTCTTGCCGTGTCATTGGATTCTTGAACACGGAGCTGCCAAAATGCAAAAAGTACTTGTACTCCACCTCTCGTCAAATGGCATCTTTTCCTTCTTATTTGTGAGTTTCACAAAGCAGTACTTGTATCAAAAATAAATAAGCAAACTGGTTACTAAGAATACAAAACGGGTATTAAGAATACAACCTCCAAAAATTCTAAACATGAAGTCTACATCGAAAGAACCGAAGAGCTTGGCTTAGACCGTACAATACAGGGTAAACTACGCAATACGCGCTCGTCTAACTGCATCATTCTATCCACAATCAGCTGGACAAAGCTACACAGCACTCTAACCGAATCCACCCTGCGCACATCGTGGTAAAGGTCATAGTGACCAGGCCAGAGGCGCTGGGGAAACGCCTCTCCCTCCTGCCATCCAACACCACCGTGCACCCCACGAAAGCACAGCCAAAACATGCGTTCAGGGAAACACGCCACTCCCTGGTCGCGCATTTTCTTGGACAGAATAAACAGGTCCCACTCCTGCTGGTGCTCACCCGTCCTCAGGTAGCCAGGCCAACCGCACAAGGATCCTTTGACGATCAGCACCACTTTGGGATGGGGATCCGCTGTCAGCACGGCGCCGTAATCCAGCTGGATTCTCGGTTCGAATTCAGTGCGTCCGCTAATTACGACGTACCCGGCATTGCTCGGGAACAAAATGCGCAGCACTTTCAACCATTCCACCAACCAGTGGTAGCTGAAAACCGGGCTTTTTGCAGCGTACCAGTTCATGGTAGCGCGCGTGTTCTGCAGCAGTGACTCCACGTTTAAGGTCTCCAAGTATGCCCGGTGACTACGAAACGGGAACTAATCAGTAAGAGTATGGTTAATCTTATTAACGAAAAAATGAACAAACATGATTACAATAAATCAGCGTAAAGGGGCCTTGACGAAGGAGAATGGGGTACGTTCGAAAAACGAGAATCGTAGCGTGTTACAGTGATATGGGCAGTCAGATAAGAGAAACACGAACAGCTGATCACAAAACGAAAGAAAAACGAAAAACATACTGTTCGCGCGTCATGTTTTTGGCGCTTCCCAACTTCCGGTGCATGGTAACCTACAAAAGTAGAGTTATCGAGTGTGGCACGAATTCTTTACAAATTTGTTGCAAGATGCCAAGTTCCGCTCAAACAAGGATTATGCTAGAATTTTTTGGACGGAGCCGTTCAAGCCGGTAACTGCCCGATGTAGCGCGTACGCTTAATTACAAATTTTGAGAAGAAAGCGCCCTCACACCGATACAAGCTACAAAAGCTTACCAAAGGAAGCTGAAAACCTGCACATATATGAGCGAGCAATGTCTCTGCTTCCCGCATCGAAGCGGCTGCCCACAAAGCCGCTAAATAGGGGAGTCTGTTGCCGAGCAAGGCGAAGACGTCCACGCGGTATCCCTCACACTTATCCAGCAGCTGCTTCCCATTCGGCTTCAGCAGTACGCGTCTGTTGGCATCAAGAAAGGCCTTCACTAAATCCTCTGCTATACTGCCAACCTGTAACAGGTAACTGTAAGCTATTAGAATTTTACGAATGATACGCCTAAGTCCTCGAGTAACTTTATAAAGGTACAGGCTACAGCGAACTCACTGGGAGACCATTTCTGAGTTCTGCTTACAAGGAGCGAGCAACAGTGCCGCAACACCCGAACTGTGTGGGTAACAGAAACTCCATATTTCTAGTGTGATCTGTGTTCAAAAATGCTTCTCTATATATTTAAAGTCTGATGAAATCGTTCTTGCAATAATAATAACAGGAAGATTATGCGAATAACGTAATATGCCATAACTGCTTGCTGAAATCAGCAACAGAAAATCTGCTGAAATCAAAAACATGAATCCCCATTCATGTTTTTGAAACATGAATCCCCAATCCCCCCAACAACCCCAATGCAGTTCACAATACTCGTATGACGAAGCATGATACAAGTGTGAAGTGAGTAAAAGTAGTGCCCTAACTGATTTTGTAATAAATCGTCAGCTGAGCGTAGCCCCATAAACAAATTATATAGGAAATCAATAAGTCGGTTTAGTAAAATCAACCGGGATGAACCAGCCATCATTGGAAAATACCTGTAGAGCCGCGTATCCACCTGAAAAACGTCCAGCAAGAGCGTTATCCTCCACGGAGGACTTGTGTCCCAGAGAAACACGGCCATCATTCGTTCGATGAGAAGGCGGGTTCGTGTCGGAGAACGACAGTTTTTCACTCTGTTTCTCGTTCAAGTGCTGGCTGGGACTCCGTGCGATCGACATTCTGTTGCTTTTCTGCAAACACAAAGACAGTTTGGGCAACGAGTCTCGCACTGTCTGTCGTTCCCTTTTCAGGATAGTGAACTGAACAATAGACAATTAGAAATTAAGTGTAGCTTCAAATACGATTAGTACAACGATACGATTAGCACAACGCATAACCGAATACAGCCAGCAGCAGCGCAACCGGCCAACCGCACTGCGGGGCCATTTCGAACGCGAACTCATCCGTCAACGGTCAACCGTTGTAACTTGTATGTATTTTGTCACTTTTGAAGTTTTGAGTTTTCTGTTTTCCACTTTTGCAGTTCTGCGTGTTGTGGCTTCCTGACTTGCAGAAAATTCTGTTTATGTGTGCTGCGTCTCTCGTCAAGGGAAAACGCACCATTTTGAATAGTTAGATTAATTCTGTAAGTGAGAATTGTGTGGATAAGCGCTATTGGAAGTTAATGTTGACGGAATTATCCACGCTGAATTCTTGATGCGTGTGTTGCAGTGAACAGCGCCATGTCGCTCGTGCGGAGACCCAGCCAGGAGTTGAGTGAGACACAGTTTGGGAATTGGGAGGAGAACGCTGTGGCTCGAAGCTTCTCGGGTGGAATCGCCGTTCTGCAGGTATTGCAACGTTATAGGACACTGACTGCATGATCGATACCGTTTCATGGCCGTATGGAAACTAATTTCGGATTGTCACGACAATTTTTATTGTTAATTCTGCTGCTGTATGTGGGATCCAGTAATGTATAATAATTATTGACTGATTGTGCAATAAATTACAAAAATAAATTGTTCGATTTAAATTCTGGTTGCGTTGCTTTGGCGTATAAAAAATTTTTTAATTTTAAAACCGCGTTTACAGAGCAGGTTTATTTATTCTAGAAGAATCGATCATTTACAGAGTAACTATTATCGGTTTATTTAATATTTAATTAATTAGTTTAAAATTTAAGTATCAAAAGGTATCTGCTTGTACAAGTTGAAAATAAAACAAAGTTGCAATTTATTCTATTTATTTTATAAATATTTTACAATTCTATATCTTCCGTACTGCAGTATAATTAGTAGTACTACACTAACAACAGTATAGGTAATTTCAAAATTATACGAGTAAATTGACCGTTTTGCTAGAAATTTTCATAATTGCCAATGGCTTCGCTTAGTAGCCTACGGAAAATTAAAATGTTTAAAAATCCCGCTCCATTATGACGAGAAGGAACACTTGTGAGCTCGTAATTATTATTACCATTAGAATATTGTTCTTTGAATTTATTTCAATAAATGATTTAACTACAGTATTGTAGCATCGATTTTCCGGTGCTAAAAAATCTTTTAATAGCCGTAAGTAAGATTAATTACAGTGATTTAATTAAAAAATGGAAATTTGTTCTAATAAATACGTTTATATAAAGTTGTATAACAGATTAAACTGTAAAATATTTTAATAAATATTTTAATAATATTTCAGTAATGTTGTTGGCAGGCTGGCAGTGTGGCCGCGGATCTCGTGGCGGCCTTCCTGAATGCCAACCAACACATGCTGCAGCATGTGCAGCGTCTGCCGAACGGGAAGCAGCTGCTGGAGATGTGTGAGGTGTACCGCGCGGACATCTTTGCCTTTTTGCTCGGCAAGAAACTTCTGCCCGATTTAGCGGATTTGTGGACAACGGCTGCGATGCGCGACGCAGCACCACTGTTTACTCCGGCATTCCACGGTCTGGATTTGTCCGTGGTAAACCCCGATTTTTTCCAGATTTTTGTTGGTGTAGACCGTTTATTTTCTGATTTAATCTTGGCCGATAAGTGGGCGCAGCGCAGTCAGCCTCTGTTTTGTGTATATTCGCCGTGCTACATGATGCGATTGAACCATAGCAGTTGTGCCAAAGATCATTTTTAATGTGATCTGGCTTTAAAATCACTTTAATGTGATCTGCCCCTGAGTTCGATCATTTTCAATTTTCATCTCATAAAATCAGACAAAAAAAGTAAAAATTATTAAAAACTATTATAGTATATTATATTATATATGTTGTATAATAATAATTATTACACTGTATTATCTAGTAATATAACAATAATTGTATAATATTAACATAATTATGTATACAGCGAGCTTCGCTCAATGATACCAATCAAATGAAGAATTTGTCCCAGTTTACATGAGAAGGGACTGTGCACAACACACTCATAGCATTACCACGCATAATCTCTAAGCTTAAACGCTGAAACAAAAAACAAGTGGAGCGACTCTCGCCCGTCCTCATGAACAATTTTTTCCCAATCTCCTTTAACGAAACAATGCCGGCCTCGCACCAAGTGCCAAAAGTCTCGCATGCAAACGGGACAAAATAGCAGCGATCAATAAGCGACTTGAGCGAAGCTCGCTGTATACATATTGAGAGATTAAAGTCTACATAATTATGTAATAATATAATATAACATATAATATATGTTATATTTTAAGTAATTTTTACCTTTTTGGTTTGAGTTTTTTGCGATGAAAGTATAAATTATTGATAAAAGAAAACATAGGCGAATTTAACTCGCTTGGGCGGGAGGGGCACTGAGAACCCAAGAACCCCAAAGAAAGCAAGATAACTTACTGCAAAACTTATAAAAACCTTTATATAAAGTACGAATTGAATTAAAATTGTTGGTACAGCAAGATATCAAGTAAAGCATTGCATTATAAATGGACATTTTGGCGCGAAGCGCGAAGCCGACGAACATTTTCACTGCAGAAATTACTAGAAATTCAATAAAAAAAGCAGAAATAATTTGAGATTTTTTTCGCGGAAGTCAAAAGGCAAAAAGCATTGCGATATTTTATGTACAGAGTTCAGAAAACCAGTGAATTTTCGCGCGAAACGCGAAGCCGGCACACGATTTCATCGCGGAAATTGCAAGAAATTATATAAAAATTAGGTAAAACTAATTAAAATTAAATACAGACGTTATTGAAATTCTTCTGCATGCAGGGGATATTAAACGGCACAACAACAATGCAGTATGCTGTACGGTACAGAGTTGTGAAAAACCGTAAATTTTCGCGCGGAGCGCGAAGCCAATGCATGGTTTTATACCTGGGAGCGCTAGAAATTCGATAAAAATAGTGAAATATTACGAGTTTCTGATAAAACTCCTTTAGAAACATGGTTTATTAATAAAAGAATAAGATGTATGCCCTGCTCATGTGCGCTTCGTGGAAAACCGTGAACTGTTCAGGCACTTTCGCGCGGAGCGCGAAGCTAACAAACGGTTTGACTGAAAAAATCGCTAGAAATTCAATAAAAAATAGCAGTTTATGCAGTTTTTTTAAAAGCCGGTAAATTCTTTCAGTGCAGTACTCCCCCCTTTACTTTTTTGAATTACCCACTTTTCCGAAAATTCCGGAGGGGGCACGTGCCCCCGTGCCCCCTCTTTAAATTCGCCCCTGAAAGAATAAATATTACTGAAATTATAAGTTTCTAAATTACCCAAAACTAATTTTCGAATAGTTTGGTGGGACAATAATAATAATAAATTAATAATGAGCAGTGTTTGATCGTACAGATAAGCGGACGGATAAAGCGCGTGTATCCGATCACACCTCTTGTAAAATAATGATATGACCGCGCAGGAATGTACACGGCATACCTGCACGCGCCTTCCGGTGACTAATGGCGGTGCTGTGCGACTAGCTAGTGACGATGTCGTCACAGTACAAGTGCACTGCACCGCATGCGTACAGAATGCTGGGTATGGGGTTATGAGACCAATTCGTCCTACATTAGTAAGCATTCATGTTTTTATTCGACAAAAACCGAAATGGCTTGTTTAGTCTGATTTTTTAATCTAATTTTTCCTGATTTCGCTACGGTACTTTTGATAATTTCAAATGATAGCACTCACTTGGGCGGCACGGGATAGCAGTTAGTTCATTTTATCTGTACTTCTATTTACAAATGATCGAGCCAGATCACATCCTTATAGGCTGCCGTTATACTGTTTTTTTCCCTTAATACATCAGACACCGAGGTTCTTTTAAATATGTCCCTGTGATCTGAAATTCTGAACTGTGCCGCATCGTCTGATGATACCCTTTCTGCAGGTTGCTACACACCGGATGCTGGAAGGCATTAACAACGAGACGATGCACGAAAAGTAAGTTGAATAAGTTCCCACTTTCCACTTCGTCGATTCCCTTCGGTTTAGTTATTTTATTGGCAGTTTCAAGTAGTAGATTAGATGACATGATAGTGATAGTTCTTCGCAAGACAATTTAAGTTCATTTGCATAATTTACGAGTTGAATTTCACTAAGCGAAAGTTTTTTCAGTACTAATGCGATCCTTTCATACGCGACCTTAATTTTGTAAGACTTAGAGCGTCACAGTGCATTCGCAGTTCACAGTTAATCTGAAAGGGAGAAGTTGAGTGTAATAAATATATTTCAGGAAATATTCGAGTAAAGCATGGGGTGCGAGATGCGGCTCCTATGGTGATTTCTTAAAAAAGATCCTCGTTGAAATAGTGTATGTTATACTTCGAGTTTTCTCATATTTCGGTCACGCTAAGGCTTAAGTGTACAGTTTCATATTTTGTTCGCCGGTTACTTACGTCTTACACCATTACGCATGCGGCGCGCTACATGCATGAATAACTGTTGATCGCACAAATGTCATTTTGATTTGTTTGTCATGGTCTGTAGTCATCAAAGCAATAGGAAAATGTTGGAGTATAAAATTTCTGAAATTTATAAACGTAGAAAACCGTTTCTTTTGCATTGCACCCGGTCAAGTTCCTGTTCTTTTGGTTTTTTTCATGGAAATTTTTTCAGATTTATGCGTTCATGAATGAGCGAAGTTTTACTAAGAAAACTGTTCATTTCTGGTATCTTTATTTGCCAGAATTTGTACCGGGTGACCAGAATACGAAAAAGCATACTTAAAGGGACCGAGTTATGTGAAAAATACCGAAGTAAGGTTAATAAAGGTTTCGTAGACACCGGGAGTACTTGGAGGCCATAGACGTGGCGTCACTGCTGAAGAAGGCGCGCGCGAACGCGATCATGGACCATTACGCTGTGCATCCGCCGATGTGGTACTACAGCTGGTTGGTGGAATACCTGAAGGTGCTGAGCATTCTGTTCCCGGAGTGGGCCGGCTACGACGTGGTGGACGGAATAGGTGAATTTTTCGACATCGAGGTGTTTTACGGGGCCGTCGTGACGACGGGTTACGATCCCAAAGTGGTGCTGATCGTCAGGGGGTGCTTGGGCCTGTGGCCGGGAATGGAGAGGATTGATGAGCGCCACGAAGAGTTGAACGTGTGGGATATGTCCAAGCGCATGCGCAAAGACGGAGTGGCCTGTTTTCCCGAGCGCATGTTCTGGCTGTGTTTTCACGGGGTGCACTGCGGTGTCGGATGGCAGGAGGGAGAGGCGTTTGCCCAACGCGTCTGGCCACATGAAGATGACGTTTATCACGATGTGCGCCGCGATGAATCGCTGCGAGAGCTGTGTGGCTTCGCGCAGTTGGTTGCATGGAGAATGATGCAGGGTGACCCAGGCGTCCCCTCTTGCACACTGGTCGCTTCTGCTGGGGGTCGCGATCAGTAATGGGAAAAACGTGTTTTTGTTTGCCTTTACTTGGAGCCGTATCACAGAGGCAGCCATAAGTCGGCTGTCCGTGGTGATCTCAGCGAGGGAGGGCGGTCAGATGAAGTCCTGTCTGTTGAGGAAATTCCGAAAAATGTGCGATTGAGCGGAATCGAACCGCTGGCTACCGAGTGTGATCCACGTAGCACAGCCACTGTGCCATCGCCGCTGTTGGCGAAGATCAAGATATTTGTGCTTGAGCTTGAACCAACCAGGTAGGCGGCAGATGGGCGGCTGTTGTGTGTACAGAGGATTCTCCTCTTTACAGCCGAAAGTATTTCGTAATATTCCTCACTGTTTTGCACTGCTAAAATTTTTTGCTTTTTTATGTTCATGTCTTGAGTTATCATTTCTGACGTTCAGACTTATGAGTGTCTCGAGGGTTTGTTTGCTCATTGGAATAAACCAAATTTAATTCACATGGGTGATGCGGAGCGGGAGAACCATCGTCACTGAAATGTATTTTTTTCGTGTTAATCTTTTTTTCCAAAAACGTGCTAACAATATCAGGAATCAGTTCCGGTTGAAGAAATCAACATTTTAAACCGTACCAGTAACAGAAGCGGCATTACCTCTTTGAATTGCTAATGAAATATTCTACCTTAAAAACTCATGGCTTCTTATCTCGCCGGTTTGTAACTCGATCCTCTTTCCTCGACTTTTTTGAGCAGCTTTTTAGCCGATGTACCAAAACTACCAAAACTCATATCGTCCTGTCAGGAAGCTGTACTTCTTCATTTTTTCCGCTTCAGCATGGCCAACTGCCGCCCCGGCCTTTTATTAGCCTGAAATGTAGCATGTGGTTATGTACAGGCACGGTCGACAAGTTGCACTTTGCGTAAAAACATGCAATAAATTCCTTACTCTGATTTTTGTTGAGGTTCGTATTGGACAGTGTAATACAAGAATATCAGTTAACAAAAACCATAACATCATTTCCGTTCCGCTGAATGAAAGGCAAAGTACACATCTTCCTTCTCTACCGTGTCGCTGAATGCACCGAGAACTGCATTTCCTCGCTGAATCTCAATACCAGTTCTTTGGCGTAAAAACTCTCCTGAGCGCGCAAAGCTATTTTCAGTATTTTGTTTACTTAAACCGGAAATTTTGTGGCGCATAGCATATCATTTAGGCGCCTAAATTGCTTTAGGAGCATGGAGATGACCTTTTAAATTCTCGGTAATTGCAGTGCAGTAATTTTAGTTTTTGCATAACAATGACTGCAAGCGCCGGTACACTACTTCATAGTTAAAATTTAAACATTAAAAAAACAACCAAAATCTCTATCTTCTCTTGGGTTAAAAGGTAACGTGCTCAAAACAGCCGTAGCATTTCCTTTTACAACGGCGAGACTAAAGCGCTGCTTAATGAAAGCAGTAGAACGCGCTTCTCCAGTTAAGTCTCGAATTTTACGGCCCATGAAATGCAACAGTTCACTGAAAGCGGGGCCAAATACTCCCAACGTCTCAATCACTAAAGGATAAAAAAAGTTTCCATTTTTCACAAACGAATATGTCCGGCGCTTGGCATTTTCTGCGAGCTGAGCCACGTATCCAGTTTTCTTCGAGCTGCCGGTGACATGAGAGTCTGCGACCGTGCACCAACTGGTTACGTCCCACACCAGTTTTTTCCCTTGGCGGACTGGAATCAGCGTAATCCCGTCGGGCCTTTTTCCGTCCTTACTCGATAAGCCGGTCGGTTCCAGTTGACAGGGAAAACCGGCACTTTCACAACAATTCTTAGCAATACTGTTCATTTCCTGGTGCCGCGCCCATCGTCCTTTGGTTGACTTATTGCAGGATAACCCGTGGTGTCCGTTAGTTTCCACTTGCTTACCGCATGCAATACAGTTGTGCGCCACTACCACTGGCAATCCAAACCGCAATGCGACACCGATTCGGACATCGTCGTCTCTAAGGAATGTTCCCAGACATGGAGCGGGCAACGCATTCAACCAGGCTCCAGAGTCTTTGTTTAGTGCAGCCAGCAAGACAGCCCTGTTACGTTCGTTTCCTTCTGTACTCGACATCAACATGGAAATGTCCCGCTCAATCATTGGCGTATCCCACGCGTATTGAAACTTCCGAATAAGATCTGCTGGGGTTTCGCACTGCGTCTGTTGTAACCACGACTCTAAAGCTGCTTCCGTTAGACACTCTTCAGTCGGCTGGTAGAATTCAGAGACGATAGGCTGCACAGAGTACACCGATGCCAAATAGGCACAAACAGCTAGTGTCTCTGTGCGGCGCGTCCCCAACCTCCCCGCCGTACTGGAAGAGACATCTGAGTCCACTGTACTTCAGATATCTTCACATTAACCAACCGCTCCACCCCCAACCGTAGCATATCGTCATATTCTCTAAGCAACTGAGGATGTTCATGACAACGGGAAGTGCGCAAACCATATAGCACTTTCGGGACGCTAAGGCAGTTCTTGAGGAGAAAAAGGCTGTAATGAGCAGGCAATTTCTCCAAGCGATGTACGAATTTTTTGAGTTGCTCGGTTTTACTAGTCAAAAATCCCGCATATGCTGACGACGTCATTGGAGCTCCTAGTAAGGTAAAATTGTCTGCGTTAAGCTGTATCATATCTGGCCAGTTGCTCAGCAGGCATGTGCGAATAAATGATTCATTGATTCATCTCTTTTTGCATTGATTCAAATGTCATAATCTGTTTTGAAAACTGTTTTTTTTTCATTGATGATTCGATTTGAGTCATCGACGTTTGTTAGTTGAAAACAGTGTATTAAAGATTTGGTATCCCGTACATAGCACATGTTGATGGACATCCTTAATTTTTTTAATTTCTCCGTCAACCAACGATGCGAAGGATCTTTCCAACCAACATTCCAAATGATAAAGAAATAATCACGGACCATTTTATGATCTACCGATTAAGTGCCAAGTTACCAACTCAACTCAGTGTACGGCTTCAACATGCGGACCCGATTTCTAACTGCATCGCCGGCCAGTTAAGAGGGCTTTATCCGGGCTTTCAGCGCCTGGTGCGATCCGCTTCGTTATCATGCTGCATACTGCACGCCGCGACTGCCCTTCGGAGTAGAAGTACCGAAGTTTTGCGCGTCTCAACGGTCTTACTCGTATTGACAACCATAAACAAGAAAATAGTTTCTCCCGATCCGGGTAATGTCGTTGAAATCACCAGGCATTAGATTAACAGGTAACTTATACAGCAATAAACTGTAAAGACCAGGCCTTAAAAGCTTACGAGTAAGGGCTACGGCTGTATTGCCGCAGTAAGAACAACATGCGGCACTATAGTTGGTTGGCTATTCCGAGTTAGCGATTTTGATATTCCGAAAACACGAAACCATATTATGAGAAAGCAATAGAAAAACATCAGGAAGCTGGAAAAAAAATCAACATAAGAAAAGAAGAAAATACGAGAAAATATAAAAAAGCGTAAGAAAACATGGAGAAAATGTAAAAAAATATAGTAAAGTATAAAAGAGTGAGGGCTGGCCTTGACAATGAGGTTGCGACGAGCGCGTGTCATGAGGAAGTTGAGCAGGCACGCGCCGGTGAACTAGAGATCCTGCCGGCGTCGTCGCCCACAGGCGGAAAGATACGAGGCAGCCACAACTTTCTCCTAACTTCGAATACAGAACTTTATTTAGGCTAGGGTAAACTCATACGCCCTTCCACAACCAGCTGTGCAAAGCTACATAGTCTTCTGACCGAATCGTCGCTGCGCACATCGTGGTAAATGTCATGGTGACCTGGCCAGAAGCTTTGGGGAAACGTCTGTCCCTCCTGCCATCCAACACCGCAGTGCACCCCGCGGAAACACAGCCAGAACATGCGCTCGGGGAAACAGGCGACTCCGTTGTTCCGCATCTGCTGCGACATATACCCCAAGTTCCACTCCTGCAGGCGCCCATTGGCCCTTTCAAAGCCACTCCAAAGACCCGGGGAGCCTTTGACGATCAGCACCACCTTGGGATTGGCATCCGCTGTCACGACGGCTCCGTAATCCAGCTCCAGTCCATCAAAGTCACCATGTGTGAGAACCACCACGTACCCAGCAGGTTCCGGGAATAGAATGCGCAGCACTTGCAACCACTCCACCAGCCAGACTGTGATGCCGTGCAGTATTGCATGACCTTTTTACCTAGCAACGACCGCAAGTACGTGCGTGACCTTTCGACGAAATGCAGTCCATTTCACCAGCTGCTGAAAGCGGGAGTGCAGTGGTCATGGTCCAAAGAATGCGAGTCACAGTTTCTGGCCATCAAAGAAGAAATAGTACGGGCAACGTTTTTGGTGCATTATGATCCAGAAATGCCTCTTGTCCTGGCAGCGGACGCCTCGCAGTACGGTGTGGGCGCCGTGCTGTGTCATCGGTTCCCGGACGGCACGGAACGACCGATTGCGCACGCATCAAGGACACTCACCGCAGCTGAGAAGAACTACGGGCAAATAGAGAAGGAGGCACTTGCCCTTGTTTTCGGCTGCCGCAAATTTCACCAGTATATTGCTGGTCGCGAATTCACGTTGTGCACGGACCACAAGCCGCTGCTGAGTGTCTTCGGAAGCAATAAAGGAGTTCCGGTCGTGACAGCCAACCGACTCCAGCGATGGGCACTACTTCTCATGGGCTACTCCTTCTCAATCGAGTACCGGCGCACCGAGGATTTCGGCCAAGCCGACGGCCTGAGTCGCCTGCCACTCCATTCGACCGAACTGGATGGACTGAGCGGGCTGGGAATGGACAAAGTGGTAAATGCGGTACACGAAGACAACGTGTCACGCTTGCCTGTCAAAGCAGAAGCCATTGCCAAAGCAACCGCCGAAGACCAGGATCTGTCCACGGTCCACGGTTACATCCTGCATGGATGGCCGGCCACGGTTGATGAGCGGTTGCGTCCCTACAAACGACTAGAGAATGAATTGGTGCTGACCAACAACTGCATTTGCTGGGGATCGCGCACGGTAATTCCGGTCAAGCAGCGTCGGCAGATACTGGACTACCTGCATGAAGCGCACATGGGAGCCGGTAAGATGAAAGGCGAGGCACGCGCCTATTGCTGGTGGCCACAGATGGATAAAGACATCGAGCACATGTCTCGTGAGTGCCGGATCTGCTCGGAACGCGCTAAGGAAACGGCCGAAGCACCGCTCTCGCAGTGGGAAGTGCCCGAAAGCCCATGGATGAGGTTGCACATGGATTTTGCCGGTCCATACCACGGCACAATGCTGCTGCTGGTGGTCGATGCCATGTCCAAATGGCCGGAAGTGGCGCAAATGAAACACGCTACATCCGATGGCGTGTTGGAAACTTTGCGCAACCTGTTCAGTCGGTACGGCGCTTGTACCGAAATCGTTACGGACAACGGCACCCAGTTTACGTCACAGGAGTTCGCAAACTTCTGTGCGGAACACGGGATAAAGCATCTCAGGACACCACCGGGACACCCACAATCGAATGGACAGGCGGAGCGGTATGTCCAGACCATCAAGGACGGAGTTGCGAAACTCATGGCTGACCGGAAGAACCTGTCCGAAGCACTGCGGCAGTTCCTCTAGAGATACCGAGGCGCGCCGCATGCAAGAACCGGAAAGTCGCCAGCGGAGTTGTTCCTGGGTAGAAAGTTCCGTACTCAGCTCGACCTGTTGTCCCCTGTTATGTTCACACATACGGAGAGAAACCGCCAACGATACCAGCACAATTTCGACAAGCGCACCAAGCGGAAGAGTTTTACGCCTGGCGACTTGGTAATGGTTCGCGATTACCGTCTCAACCGAACTGTCGACTGGACCAGCGGCCGGCTGGTCAGACGTGAAGGCACCCGGATATGGGAAGTGTCTGTCGAAGGCGCCATCTGGCGCAGACACCTTTAACCAGATCCGACCGAGATATTGGCTGCAGCCGGATGAGCGACAGGTGGCGGATTCCTCACTGCCCGCACCGGTTGCATTGCCAGTGAATACCGGAAACAACATACCCCGCGGCAACAGTGTGGTTCCCGACGCAAGGCAACAGACGGAGCAACCGCCTGCAACAGCCACAACCGAACAACCGGCTGTGACACCGAAAACGGAGCTCACTGTCGAACCGGCCGCCACCGACGTGAAGTTACCGCCGAGTAAACCACCGAAGAAGCGCGCAATACCACCCCCGAAACAACCGGAACCAGAGCTGCGTAAAACTGCCAGAAGCAACGCAGGCCAACGATTAACGCCGAGATTAATAGAAGATCCGAATTTTGGCAAATAGTTACTGTTGTTTTGAGTGGGTTTCCCCACTGGGGGAGGTGTGATGCCGTGCAGTATTGCATGACCTTTTTACCTAGCAACGACTGCCATGCTGTAAGATATTGTTGATCGATTCAGTCAGTAGAGCAGCGCGCGCGTACCAAATAAATATTACTGTTTATTCCCTACTTCGTGACACAGACTTTGGGAAACACCGGAGGTTCATCAGCGTACTGGTCTAAGACAGCGCGCGTGTTCTTCAGCAGTGAATCCACGGTTAGCGTCTCCAAGTACGCCCGGTGTCTACCCAATATCAATTGCAATAGTGTTATAACGTTGAATTTAGAGCGTGAGGACATTTCTGAACGAAATCAGTGTCTTCCATGCACCGTTCCTCGCATTCGCTTTTTAAGCACCCTTTCACGTTTCTTACAACGCTGAATCAGATTCCTCGTTAATAATGACAGAAACGTAAGCTTTCTTATCCTGATCATGCCCACCAACGTAATCAATCATTATTATCATGGTCGCATTTCGCTTTGTAGCTTACACTACCAACAGAAGCGTTATCTTCGTAATCAGAACCAAAAAAAATTAACAAGGCTGCTCGTAAAAAATTTCAGCGTGAAGAGATGCGGAGAAGGGATCTTTCGAAAACGAGAATAATGTTTGGGGGGTTTCGCATGACACCCATATCAGAAAAGAACATGAACAGCTACTGCAAAGAGCAAACTTATTATTCAGTCACAACGAAATACAAAAAGTGAATCCACTTCTATCATTTTAATTAGTGTGTACCAGCGCTGGCTTTTTAATCTAAGAGATGGCCACTGCCGAATAAAAAGAATGCTTAAAAAAGGTGACTTACTGTTCGTGCGTCATTTTACTAGCGGTTCCCAACTTCCGGTGTATGGCAACCTGCAAAAAAGATAGTAATCCAGCTATGGAGAGGAATGAGCTTGACACCAAGATCCGAGCAAAAAAGACCAAAAGCAAAAAAAGACACAACTGTTCAAGTCGGATCACCTAATCGCAAATCGTGGTATATGGTAACAAATGCAGCACCAGCAGATTACAAGAAAATTGCTGGTTCAGCATCTTGGCTAATCATGTTGTATCGAAACCGATTTCTGAGTTTTATATGTGATTTGTTGCTTAAGAGTTAAGATCGTAGACCGAACCTTACTGAAATAGTAATTCTGCCACCTACAGATAGTATTACTGCTGACGGGTCCTAGTTACTTAATTTTAGGCTCTGCAGTATTATTCTTATGAATTATGTTTTACACCGTTTTAATACGAGTAGCTTAAGAACCTATTTAGTAGGTTTTTACCGTATTTTTGAATGTTTTGTTTTTGTTTAGATATATGAAAGTCCGAGGCTCCAAGCGTAGAGGATAAGCATTGCGTCGAATTTCGAACAAAAACTGGGGAAACTAGTTTTGTTATTATGCCCAGATAATTTCAGAAAATAAGCGTCGTTAAGCCTAAAATACCAGGTGAAAACTTACCAGAGGAAAATGGAAACCAGAGTGTAAAGGAACAGGGGGTGTGACTGCGTCCCGCAATGCCGCTGCTGTCCTCGAAGCCGCTAAATCGGGCAGTTTATTGCCGAGCAAGGCGAAGACTTCCGCTCGGTATCCCTCACAGATCTCCAACAGCCGCCTCCCGTTCGACACACTCTGCACCTTCCGCAGCACGCGCTGGTTGGCACCCAGGAAGGCCTTCACGAGATCCTCGGCCACACTGCCAGCCTGTAAGCAACAGTCTGGATAATGCTGATTTATTGACACCTCCCGAATTATACCCTTCCAATTACATTAACTTAGTACCTGTTTAGCTCAATGAACAGATCAACCCGTGAAGTACCCATAACTAATCTGGTCAAGCGACGGCACATCTGGAATTTTATATGAAATACCTGCACCGTCTGCACAGCCGCGAATCCACCAGAAAAACGCCTAACCAAAGCTTTATTGTCCTTCGACGGTAAATTGTTTAGAGAAACACGATCACCATCCTTGCGAGTCGAAGGCAGTTTCGTGTTAGGCAACGACACTTTCTCGAACGCTATCCCGTTTAAGTCTCACTGCTCATGGCCAAAACAGAGCCTCAAGTCTGGTGAGAAATTCGCTTACTTAAAATAACGTAGATAATTCAGCAGCAGAAGAATCAAGCTAACATTAAGCTGAAAACAGGAAACTTAACGGTTCCTGAGCGAGGTGGAATAAAAATAAATTCTAACACAAACCTCAATGGCACCCCCTACGGGAGGTGACGGCGCGAGTCACGACAACAGCGCGCCGGCGTGCCCCAGTGCACGCTTTTATATTCAGGAAAAAACTTCCCTCCAAAAAAAACGCTCCTTCAAAAACTTCCAAAAAACTTTGCGGGAGACATTCCTCCAGATGGACGCGTACGGAAGCTATGATTGGCTGCAATAATTGGCGCTGCAAAGAATGCTCTGGCTGGACAGTGTAAATTATGCCAGGAGTTGCTGGAAAATTTAGAAAGAGGTGCGCGGAAGTTTTTCTTCGTGATATCGTACTCGTCATATCGCACTCGTCATTTTTTATCTTTATGGTACTTACGTGTTGTGTTGTTGCATGAGTTTCTGTGTTATGGCAAGTTATAACTTCAAAGTGCTGTTTGTAATTCAAGGCAAATGCGCAAAAAATTTCATGTTCGCGGGGATCGGAACATCCGCATGATACGGATGCCGCATACGGCAGGGGATAAAAGGTGGCAGTGGCACCTGCCACTGGCATCTGCCACCGGCAGTGGCAGTTGCCACTACGCGTTATGGCAAGCGATTAAACGTGGCAACTGTTAGAAATTAAAATATTGAAGGAAGCCATAACTTTTCTTGTATTAACAACTCAAAATCCCTTAAACTCTTGAAGGCATTCATGTGCATGGTCCACGTCAAGTATGATGAACCCTGATTATAAAAAAACATTCTTAGTGCGACTTAGTACAAGGGATACCGAACCGAGTGCGCACCGATTGTTCCCCAGGATTTGTTCAAAAAAAATCGAAAACAAACAGAACAAAAAATTTTGCACACCGACCACATCTGTAGTACCTACAAACTACAGCACAGATACTGAGATACATAAAGAATCATAACCATACGCGCTTTTTGTTTTCCACAATCAAGCGCAGGCCATTTTTACCTTTTCGCTGTCATACAGTCTGTTGGGCGTAACTGAAGCCTTTGAGGAGTTTAAGCCGGTGTTTAGCACATCAATGCGGCAGCATGCGTCAATGGATAAAGCCGCTTGCAGTTCAGCTTGCACCGCATCCGCCGTGCCAATGGAGTCTGGCTCCTACAGACAAAACATTTTCTAGCTTTTTAAGACTTATAAATTTTTTGAAGTTTCTTGCGCTTTTTGCGTTCGAACGCAAAAAGCGCACGAAATCTAAAAACCCTAAGAATTCTAAGGAGTTCCCAGAACTCTTAGGGTTTTTAGGTTTTCATAGAATTTTTCAAGAATTCTATGAAAATTTGTTTATTTTTAGAAAGCCTAAGAAATTCAAGAAACTAAGAAATCTAAAATTAAGAAGAACCTAACATAACGATAAAAATGAATAAAACCCGTTAACGATGAAAACGAACAAGTTTGTCTCCGACTTTTAGTAGTCAGACTCAGCCCTACGGCCGCGAGCCTGTAGCCCAACAGCTTTAAACACTTTTGCCACATCAGTTTCTTGCGTTACTCACAACTGATGCGAAAACCTGAACGATACTGTCGATACACAACGAAGTTTTTGTATTTTCGTCGTTTTATGACACATACCGGACCGACGGGACCTTAGTCAAAACGCTCGTTTTAAGCCGCGCTCATCAAGCGTGACAGATTAGTTAGTTTAGCTTTCAGAATGTGTCATGACAAGTCATCCAAAATCAAACGATTGCTGGAGATCGCCAGTCATGCACGAATGGAACGCTTTTACAATACCGTCGCATTACCGCGCTTCGATCGTGAGCGACACTGATTCTGAGAGTATCTGCGACAGTTTCTTCTGCTAAATAGCGATTGCAGCACTCATTTAATACTGCATGGAAGGCGCGGAAACAAAACTCAGCTGGGGTGTACGTCCATAGCATCCATAGTTCTATAGAGTCGATCTGTGAAAATACGAAAATGCTCTCCCTAGAACTTATCGTTGGATGGCAAAATTGTCTCAAGATGATTCGGAATTTTAATAGGTTGCCATGCTTTATCGCTTGCCAGAACGCGTAGTGGCGACTGCCACTGCCGGTGGCAGTTGCCAGTGGCAGGTGCCACTGCCACCTTTTATCCCCTGCCCTGCAAGGGCAGGGGATCTGCAAGTGACTGTGTACGTGGTTCACCGGTGGTTCAATGGTGGTTCTATGTGGTTCTATAGGTTCATCTGGTTCACGGGGTAGAACGGAATTGCGACAGTGTTCCGGCAAGTTTGTGAATGCTTGGTTCTGTGGTGGTTCAATGGTGGTTCTGTAGGTTCACCTGGTTCAAGGGGTAGAGTGGTAGTGTGACAGTGTTCCGGCAAGTGAATGTGTGCTTGGTTCGGTGGTGGTTCTTTGTGGTTCTATAGGTATCGCTTCTCATTCGGTTGCTGCGTTGTTAACACTGTTTGGTTCTATTGGTTCAGAACCAAGGGAACCACTTGTGTCCTGGTCTATGAGTTCATTCCCATAGAACCACTAATGTCCTAACTTGGACATTCTATGTCCTACTGCAGTTGATGTAGCTGGACTTACCCACTCCGCTCTGGCCGATGACGGCGATATTCAACGGTACCTTCTTCCAGCGATCATTGCGCTCGCGCAGGACGCGGGCGAACCCGGCTGCTCCGCCCTCCTGGTACGCTTCCACAATTTCCTTCATATATTCTGGCCCAAAGTTTGGACTTACCCACTCCGCTCTGGCCGATGACGGCGATATTCAACGGTACCTTCTTCCAGCGATCATTGCGCTCGCGCAGGACGCGGGCGAACCCGGCTGCTCCGCCCTCCTGGTACGCTTCCACAATTTCCTTCATATATTCTGGCCCAAAGTTGGTCACTGTTAATGTTTGCGAATTATCTTCTTCCGCCATGTTCTTACTTGTCCGCATAGACAAACTTTTAGCAGTATTGCTGGTTTTACAAGAGCAGTTAACCCGTTGACGGGCATTGGTGTCTGGAAACGACAAGAGGTTTTTGATTTTTTTCCCAGCGATCGGCAACAGTTATTCGTTGTCCCATAACGTATTAAGCAAAAGGGGACTTTAAAGCAGCAATAAAAACACAATTTGAACTTGTGTCTTAAGTTTGTTAAGAACAATAGGTGCGCGAAAATCGCTAATTTTGAACTTTCTGACCTCTCGTAGGTCTTGCTAATTACTAATTAGTGGATGAGTAATTAAACCCGAGATAAATCAACAAGGTACAACTGGCAACCCTTTATTCAAAAATGTCTTACACAGAATCTAAAAGTTGAACCATAGATGACCACAGTCCCTCAAAAACGTGTGTCGTCTGCCAACACCATTGCCCATGAAGGGTTGTGAATACACGGGCGGGTGCACTTTCGACAGATTATTTTCATTACGTAAACGGAATAAAGTTACTGTCGGTTCGGACGCAAAACATGCGCCATGTGGTTTTGGTTGTCGAAAGCTGGCAGAAAATGGGGTTGCTGAACGGCACCCCGGGCGGTCGGAATGGTGGTCCTGATGCGTTAGTCCTGACTGTAATAAGTGTAATTCTACCGCCAGTGTACGTAGCACTGTAAATGGCTGCACAACCCTGCACTCTGCTGCTCTCTGCCTTCGATATGAGTACGAATACCGCTTGGGCAAGCGAAGCAGCGCAGATTTAAAGAAACAGGCGAATTTTGAGTTCTGACCAGTCTCGGGCGGCTGCAAGCTGTAATGACCACCTTAGTGATGTTGACCTTTGCGATAGCTTTATGTAGGTTACATCCGGCCGATAATGTGTTAGAAAAAGTGCGAATGACCACTAATATTTGGTTCGGCGCCAATCGCCTTTGCAGCTGGATTATACCCGCCGCTTTCCCCATTCCCACCACCACTGCGGCTATACCAGGAAACGTGCAAGTCCGAATGATGCACGCAGTGTAAAGGCGGCTCGGCGTGTTTAAAAAATAAAATGCAGCAAGTGCAATGTTAAATTGCACAAAGGCTGCTTCTTGAAGTGCCGTATGAGAGAGTGATGAAAGTTGGCGAAGGAATATTGTCAGCATCGCTTGTTTTCTATATTGTTTTGTATGTGTAGTAGTGGTCAAAATGCAAGGAAACGCTTTTTAGCAGTTTTTAAAGTTTTGCTGACCAGTGGTCAAATTGTTGACCACTTCTATACTCTTATTTTAAAGTACTTTTTTTGAGCTATTTAATGAAGCTATTGTTTTTACTTTATCCCTATTAGATTAATTATTACAAAATTAGGCGTTTTTATGCTGTAGACCGTCCATGGGCATTGGCGTTGGCAAACGACATAGTCACCACCGTTGACCTAGGGTCAGCGCAAGCTCACAAAAAATTCCCTTTCTTAATTGAATTTTTTCATTGGAAAATCCCGATTTTCAATAGAAAACTCGCACTCCTTCGGGTACCGCCCGCTGGAGGGTTAACACACGATAACTAGTTTCTACTGGGCCCAAATGTCGCAAATGGCCTGCTATCCTTTATAGAAGTATGGATATTGCGTCCTTACTCACCATGCAACCCAATTGTACGTACCAATTAAAAAGATAGACAAGATTAACAATACCATCGGACAACCAGGTGTGACATGAACTACCGTCATTTCGACCGAAAGTAGAGCAAATCGTTGATAAACCATTATGCTACACGAAATGAATGTCCTCGACAGTAATTATTATTGCAATTTGCAGGGCTGATAATAAAGTACCAAAGTACTCGTACTTTACGTTCATATACAACAAAAATAACGCAAATAAAGAATGGAAAAACGGCCAGAATCCACTCTTTGGTAAAAGGCTACCCAAAACTTTAGCGAACGGATTCGATGTGTGCAAATAACGGCTGGGATCCGGAGGGCGTCGGATGGAGAATATGCGAGACTGGAAGTAACTTATGTCGCAGGTAAACGTGCTGGCGCAAACGGGTTTTGTGGCAGTAATGATTGGTGTAAACGGCCCTGCTGCGTAATCGGCAAAGAAGTTTCCAGTAAGAGGGCGACCATGGGGCTGAATCACTGAGGGGTCACCGGAAGGCCTACCGTTTTATGCACGGCACAGTCCGTAATGCGTCGTGCAGCTTGCAAAAGTCAAACTTGTACGGTTTGTAGTTGTCTATGAGGAAAACGTTATCCTGATCGGCATTACTCAGTTTCATGTTTCGGAAAATATTTTCTCGCACTTGCTGCAGTATCTCATCGTCGGTTCTGTTAGCAGACGCTTTAGGAAAGGCGGCGCGATGGTTTTCAACGTCGTTGCCGCACTTGGTGCGCACGTAGAAGAATCCCTTGCCAAGCTTCCGAATCTCATCCGTCAGCCACTCGGTGGTCGTCGTCGGTGCAGCGGCTGCTGGACAGCAGCAAGTAAAAATCATAGCGTTTTAACTGAATTTTTTCAAGATACTTGTCGCGCGGGAAACCAGGAGCTCCAACACCCGGACAGTCCCAGTACAAAAGGCTTCCGTTGTTGGGATCGGCGTACGATTGGACTTGTGTCGTGGTCTCGACTATACCGACTTTAGCAGCTCCTTCGGCGTCAGTGGAAATATTTCGAATACTGTTAATGTACTCGTAGCTAGACTTGCCGACACCACTTTTACCGATAACGGCAATATTCAGCGGCACTGTCTTCCGACGTTCCGTCATGTCTATATGCAGAGAAAAGTCAAGCAGTGAAAATATATACAGCGAAAATTTCTGCACAAAGTCAGAAGAGCGATTACTGATGACAACGGCAGCGACTGGCTAACTAGTTATACTTATGAACTCATGGCTCAGTATCAATACTACGGAATGTATTCCTGCTGAAAGAAGCGTGATCTGTCTAGCCAAGTAGCAGCTGTTTAGAACGATGGTAAAACGGCTATCAGTTCGGCAACCATAATACGTTGTATCAAAGCGCACGGCTATCAGTTCGGCAACCATAATACGTTGTATCAACGGCCCTGCTGCGTAATCGGCAAAGAAGTAGAAATATGGTATCTTACGTATGAGGACATTTGGGTGCTGTGAACATACCCTGCACGATTAGGCTGCGATGAACAGCCGGCTAAATTTATAGCCGTTTGCATTCAGACTGTGATATCAGTAGCGTTGCGAGCTACGGCTAACCAGCTGTTCATCGCAGCCTAATCGTGCAGGGTATGTTCACAGCACCCAAATGTCCTCGTATGCGTGCAGCGTACTTTATGCATCTGGTTCTCGAGTAGTACAAACACAAAATACAAAGTCTGTACTGTACTGGTCGGTGGCACACTCATAGGTTGCATGAGCGGTCTTACGAACACGAGTAATAGTGAGTGCCAATCGGGCACATTTACGATGCGTTCAATAAGAAAGCAAGAAAAAAATCATTTCGGCGCAAACTTGAAATCAAGCGACGAAAGCCATTGACCGTTCACCGGTCTCAAGGCAGTTCACAGTTTCTTGTAGAGGACATAATATTGTTTCTGTATGTTTTAGATATTCCTCCGGCTTTTCTAACAGAAAGCGAAGTGGACGGGGCATGTTTAAAGTTGCTTCTTAGAACACGTGCTTAGCAACAGAAAACGTGACTTCCGGAGGTTGGTTGGTTTTCACAGCTGCCGTCCGTCTGCGGCTGTGTCTTGCAACGATGCGAACGTTTAAGTACAGTATTCGTCGTGCTCACTTAAAATATTATGTAATAGGATTATAGGATTCAAATACAGATACGTAAGTAAGCTCTGCAAGTTGCAATTAATGCAGAATGCTATGCGAATGGCGAATCGGCAGAATTGATTGGCGACACTATGTACTCTGGTGTGCCGTAAAGCTCATATCTTACAAATGTTGACGTGCGAGGTGCAAGTATAATACTCTGATTTAAAATTAACGCTAGAAATGACATTGACAGTTCGATCAGTCTTGATACGGCGTGATGACAGAGTTGGTGTAATTTATTGGTTACCTTTTACTCAAGCATATAATGCTCTAAAAAATAATGCACTAGTAGCACAATAATGGAAAACAAAAAACTAGCCGAAAGCTGAATTGCATAACTAATGGTCATTAGCAGCGCTGAAGAATGCTAAAAAGCGAGTTGGAACACCAGCGTAGATAGCGCATGTAGCAAGACGACGGAATACAGGGAACATCTAAGAGGCTGTTTTTTTCTGGCCATATCGAATGCTTGACAGCTGCGAAGCGTTCTACAGGGACCATGGTGTCAGACATACTTGTAAGTGCACAAAAGAATTCGCACTTTGCCACTTTACAACCTACAACAACATACGCTTCTTAACATACAAGGCACTGCAGCATAATGGGGGAGGGATGCGATTTGCGGTACGTGTATGCATTAAACGATCAGGACGCTCTAACCATGCAGAATTCAGCGCGGCAACGCGGCGTCGGTTATGGGGACGATGGAAAAGCGGAAAATTTTTAATGAAATTCTGATGTTGTAAAAAATGTTGATGTTTTCAGTTATTACAAAATTACGTTGTACCTCAGGTGAAATAAAACACGTTATACTGAATTAGGCATATGATTAATCATAATATTATAGGATTAATTTGAATATTAAACAGTAAATCGCCTATTAACTGCACCGGCCGGCAGCATGCGAAAAAGGTTGGCTGTTTAAGCAGATTAAGCAGGCTTATTAAAAGTTGCCGATCGGTTTAATTCTATGGTATGGCGCAGGTTATGATTGGATGGTGCTGCACGACTGGTCAAGAAACAAATTAATTTTAGCTGCATGTCTAGGATGCCGGCGTCTTATTTCTGAGGTCCTCACAATCTTTGCGGGTATCCTCCAGCGCCAGTTGGCGAGCTTTCTGGATGCAAATGTCGATAACCTCCTTGGCGGCGGTTTCCATCCTGCCCAGGATGCAGAGCAGCATGAAGCGGGTCAGTGTGAAAGAGAGCGGCGCCCCCACCAGCGATCCGATAAACGGAATGAACTTAAGTACCTCCTCCACCACCTGGCCAATTGTCTCCACCGCCAGCTCCTTGCCGAGGGCGATCAGGAAATCCTTGCCGATCACGGTCGGAACCGACATGGACACCATTTGCATTAAGATGGTCAGATCAACCTCATGCATCTGAGCCGTTAACGCCAGTGATTGCGGGTCTAGTCCAAGCTGCTCCTGGTAGAATTTACACTCGGCCAGCACCAGGCCAATGTCGAATCCAGCGGATACCCCTAAAATATTTTGTCTTTATTTTCTCCCGGGGAAATTGCAGTGCGGTGAAACGGTAGCTCGGCATATCTGCGGAATGTCTAAGAAAATTCTGGGTACATATTATTATATGTTTGTGTAACGTAAGAGTTAAGACCGATGCATAATAATAAATATGCAGTTGCATCTAAAAAATTAATATACCGCTAAATCGAAGTACTGTAGCTGGCGCACAGCCAAAGCGTTATACCTTGCAATGAAGAAGTTTTTGTAAACCTGTCTTTGTAAATCTATGACACGCAGTCGTAGCGTGCCGGCATATCACGCGCTACCGGCATGATGCACGTGCAATAAGTCAGTTAAGTATATAAATTATCGCCTTAGATTTACCGCCTAAAGTGCAGCGCTGCAACGGCCTGGTTGTATTTTAAGTTACATGACCTGACTGTTTTCAGCAAACTATTCCGAGACTTACCCGGTATTGGCACCAGACCAACCACACCGGATAGCAGCGCTACTTTCCATACCCGGTTCCGCAGTGCATCCACCTTATTCTGGAGGATTTTTTTGCTGAGCATGCCCATGGGATTGAGAGAGTAAAGGAATGCCTCGCGTTTCAACTGCGGCAAACCTTCCAGTAATTTGTCTTGCAGCATCTCGAAGTCAAACTCTTTCGGTTTATGGTTGTCGATGAGGAAGATGATACTGTCTTCCGCCGTTCCAAGGTCAAGGTTGCGGATGATACCATTTCGCACATGCTGCAGGATCTGGGCATCCGTTTTTCCAGTGCAAGATTTAGGATAGTCGTTGCGTTGGTTAGATACGTCGATGCCACACTTGGTCCGCACGTAGAAGAATTTTTTGCCAGCTTTTTTTATCTGGTCTGCCAGCCATTGGTCATTGGCCGTGAAGCGACTGCTGGACAGGAGCAAATAGAAATCGTAGCGCTTGAACTGAATGTCTTCCAGGTACGTGGTTTGTGGAAAATAGGTAGTACCCACACCCGGGCAGTCCCAGTACCGCAGCAAAGGGTTTTTAGGGTGGACGTACGAATGGACGCTTGCCGTGGTCTCCGTTATGCCGACCTTGGCAGCACCTTCGTCTTCGGCCCCGAGGTCACGGCTACGGTTAATGTAGCTGGACTTGCCGACGCCGCTGTTGCCGATGACAGCTATATTGAGCGGAACCGTCTTCCAACTCTCATTGCGCTTCCGCAGGACGCGGGCCAATTCGGCTGCACCGCCCTTTTCGTAGGCTTGTGCAGCTTCTGCCTTGTCTAAGTTGTCTTCTATGGCAAAATCACCTGCTGTCAATCCTTCTAGCACCATGATTATGCGCGAAGAGAAACTTAAGAAAAATTTATTTCACAAAGATCGAACCCAGTAACCGAAAAGGGCAGCTCATACAACAAATCCCTAATTACAAGGCAGTAGAAGCTCTCTGTTAGGTCGCAGGTAATTGATATTACTACAGCAAGTGATTTCGGCCTAAATAGCTTTTAAGTAGTGCTTAAGTAGTAGGATAGTTTCCTTCTTGACAGGCAGCAGTGGTCTAGCTGGAAAAACGGCTGTCGACGCGGTAGACACCGCGATATGAAAGTTAATACGACATCGAATGGCACGTACATATGCATCGTATACTGTCCTTGACGCATAATTGCATCATATGCTGTCAAGGTCAGAGTCAGTAGAACGTGGCTGAAGACACAGGAAGAATCTTAATTGGCTACCCTTTAATGCAACGTTCAACGCGCAAGTTTCATACAGCAACAGTACCAAACTAGCCGAAGGCCAGGTTGCATGAGAAATGATCATTAGTAGCGCTAATGATAAAATTCACTCAGTGATTGGAGCAAGACCGAGGATGACACGTAATAGTAATTATCTATACTTCAGGTATTGAAGTAACTTGCCAACTACGGCAATATCGGAAGCCAACCGGATGCACAGCATTGTGAAGGAATATCAGAAAAGCAGCTAGCTCGAATTGTTGCATGGCGTCGCTTTGGTCGTTAGCTGTATAATACTTTGTGCGTTTGGGCCGGCTATGAACGGTGACACCAATCTTTTCATCAAGCCATTCGCTGAATTTTGCTCTGCTTGTAGCCGCTAATGGCATGCTGTTGGCCGACTTGCCCATAGCATGCTAAACTGCATACAAAACTGCATGCTAAACTCCCTATACAACATATACAATATTTATATGGTATAGCATTATCTATCATAAAGATATAATACCATCTGCTAGTTTATGCAGTTTTTTTTATTTACTTACTCAGTAGTTCTACAGATAACAACGTTACCTAGTTAAGTGTTTTTTCATTTAATAAGTATCACACTGCAAAGTACAAATTAAGTACTACAGAAACTGGACAGATCATGGAGAGAAAAACACGGTGATGAGGTTAACCATACAAAACTTTACTTAAAATTGAAAAGCACAGCTTTGAACAAACAGCAATAACAGGCGAGCGGATTACTGAGAACACTGGAGCTAAATTTGCTGCTTCTTCCCTGCACAGATCCGCATTTCCAAGCCGGATTTATATGGTTATCCGTTGGAGGAGATCCTCCGTTCCCATAACCAATGTGAGGAGAGAAGCGGCTCACTTACAGCGACAAAATCTTTCAAATGATTTCGACGTATTGCGCCGTGGTGCAGTGGTACTGCCTCCGCGGATCTAACAAGCCTGGGTTCGATTCCCCCATCGGTGCATTTTTCAGCCGTTTCTCGGTTTCCCTCCGATTGCGCCCTGCTGACACCACGTTGCTTGCCTGATAAATACACGAATGCAAAAACTACTCTAGCTATCAGCTGACAGCTGTACATACCTGTACGCAGTTTTTTAGCTGCATCAAGCATACATCTAAAAATGCAGTAAATGCAGAAGTAACTACAGTAATATAATCGGGCAATGGAAACGTTTATTAACAGCAACAGTCAGCGCAGAAATGAGGGAGCTTTCATTTAAACCCTATCGGTCTTGCCAAGTCATCCACAAGCGTACTAGCCGTTTTAACAAACTGGGGATAGAAGACCATGTAAGCGCACAATGGTACAATATGCTGGGAGTGAAATACCAACAGTGCTGGGAGTGGTGTATGACGCGTTCTGACTGTTCTCGTACAACGCAGCAGCGCGATCGAAAACTGACACAGCGCCGCTGACATAACAATAACCGATCCCGCGATAACCATCCGAAAGGTCACCGGCTGAGATTTGTTATTCCGCTGAAATTTACCATTACTCTCATCCGCACAATATCTTGAGAGCGGCGACGAAACGCTCGGTATATCCTCCACAATTTTCTGCCGAGATTTTGTGGCGAAGGCAAACCACGCCGCGCGGTAATTAAAGTACGCCGTGGAATTGCACGGTGCCACGACCAACGGCCCGAAGGTTCCGAACATAGCGGCATTAAACACGATGCAGTATGTCCAGATGGCGATTAAGATCCCCGCAATAATCGAGTTGCTAATGTGATTCCAGTAAGTGACGGGAAACTCCACCGACATCCACCGATCCACACTGATACAGCCGATGTGAGCGTTGTACAGCATCACGCCGAAATACGTGTCGGCCACGCCCAGCTGGTACGGCAGCTGGCTAAGGTGCCGCGGTTCGATAATGCGGGATATGCTCGCAATGGGGAGAAAAATGAGGAAATGGATTCCGCCAGGGAAAACGTTAGGTGAAGGTAGACGAAAGGTTGTTTGTTTTTCCATCTGAGGAAGATGATAAAATTGATAAGATTGCACAGGGCACCAGTGGACGAGACGATCAACAATCCCGTTGTCAGGAGGATCTGAGGAGGTGCCATTGCCGGGTGGTTCCGGAGAAATGCTCGTTGCAGATGACTGACCGGCTTAGCGTTGCGTCCATGGCAGAATAAACCATAGAATGCTGCGCAAACACGGTAGGCAGCATGATTTAGATTTTTGGTTTCTCGCTATTGGACCGCAAAATCGATAAACCAGGTGAGGAAAATTTTGTTGATGAAGCAGATGTCCACTGTGGTCCCAACAGAAAACCGTTTTTCCAGATTACAATCTGCAAACCGGTTTTACGCTTTATGAATCCCTTGTGTGAACAAAAAATTACCTGTTGGCCGTTGGGCCTGTATTTATTACACGATAATGTGTGGCGGAAAGTAAATATTCTGCTGAAATCTACATATGGAAAACAGTGGGTTCAGTAATGATATTACAATGGTCAAAGGTGCGTTCTCGGTTGGGGAACAACTGAAAGATTTCTGCAGAGTTGTCTCGGGATATCTAGCGGATTCCTGGGAAGTGCTACTGGAAGAGCGATTGTTGCGGCTCACGTAAAGGGCGCATTGTCAATAAGACAGCGGGACCAGCATACCTACACTTCAGACACACTTACCGGAGCAGCATCACGTTACGGCATGGTTGCTAGTCAGTAGTCACGCTCCGGAGGCAGAAGGATGTTGTTGCGCACAACATTTTGGTGAACAGCAAGGAAAGGCTGCTCTCATTTTCATAGGTTTGCACCCACCTCTCGGTATGTACCGACATAAGTATCTACTACTGTACTTAGTGTACTATATATACGCGGGATAAACCATTTCTTAACCTTGACACCGAAAAACGGTTTTAACGTTTAATCTGTCGCGCTGACTTTCATGCGTACTTGGTTTTTTTTTGTCGCACCTGTACTAGGCAACCTTGGTTGCGTAATAAGAAATTAACAATACGGCGGCAGAAAGAAAATAGTGTCCTAAATTGTAGCAAGCTGCTTTTAATCGCTAGACCGTAACTAAATATTTCTAACGCTAAATAGTGAACTACGAGTAGGTATTACTGAGTGCAGGAAGTCGATATAAGTAACTGAAATTAACTGGAATTACTGAATACTTCTTAGTACTTACTGAATTAATGAGTATTACTGAGTAGTTACTGTAATTACTGGGAAATTCCCGAAAACTCAGTTAGTTCACATTGATCTGGATACGTTGACAATATTTTTGGCAGCTGCCGGCAGAGCTTATTGAGACAGTACACTATAAATTATAATTAACGGCTTTTTAACTTGCGCTTTCAGCATTATTACGTGGGCAGCCAGCATAACCGGAAAATTAACTGGATCGTAAAACCTAAACAATACTTTTATGGTTGGTACTAACTTGAGCAATTAAAAAGTATTCTACGTCTTGCCCTGATACGGTGCAGCGGGGTGCATAATTACAGTATGAGCTCCTTATACGTAAAAACCAGTTTACCAGACATTACGTGATATTTGTGATTGGTTTTGTCCGTACGTTAAAATTACTTCATATAAGCGGTTAATATCCTTGCTCCGTCGAAATACATACTTCTTCATCTTTATTCTTTGCTGTTGACGGTAGCGCACTCACCATGTTGCTAAAGATTTTGGTTCTTCTACCGTTTGCTTTTGGCCAAACTTCGGACGATATCGACAAAACTGCAGACCACATCAGAGCTGTCAATCCCCTTGGAAATCCATATCACAGTGATACGAGACTTCACCTATTAAGCGGGGAACCGCGTACGTATTCTCCAAATTGTACTTCAAAGTGTACTTGTAAAATAACAGTACTTAGAGATTATCAACTGAATCTGACTAATGTCCAGTCGTTTTTGCAGGGGATAACGAAACATTTGCCGGGACGCTGAGCCTCTGCTCCAATGGCTCAAACGATGAATTACTTAACGTTACCATCAGCAGCAGTATAGCCCTGCGCGGCTATAAAAGTTTAGTGTTCTATGCACGCGCTGAAACCTTTACCATACTGGAATTCAAAGACTTCCTGGAGCTTCCGAAATTTATGGGTGTTCACCGCATCGCACTGCCGCAGACCAATCGCAGCGTCTCGGAACTGGAGGAAGCTCTGGCGTACGCGTGGGCGCCCAGCTTTGGTAATTTCATGTGTAATACAAGAATCCTCGACGTTTTTTGCATTTGCGTACCGGACACCAGCGGCACGTTACTCTGTGTTTTTTGCACCACATGACAAAGTATTTTCAAATCTGATTACGGGATAGCCATCGCTTTTACACATGCTCATACACGATTATAACGGAAAATTATCAACTTTTTTAATGCGGAACAACGCAGAGAATACCGCATTTCTGCGGTATTCTCTGCGTTGTTCCGCATGCGTGAGCTAAATATCGTCTCCATAGTATTTTAATTGTCGAAAAACATTTCTGTTTGCTAGAGAAAAGTTCCATGACACCGAGGCGTGCTCAGATCGTAAAGTTGGGACAAACCTGGGACTTTTTTTCCCGCAATGGGTAATCGAATATGTTAACTCGATTTAACCATGCAGCAATACCCTTCGCTATCCCATAAGGTCACCTTTAGTATCGATTGTCTACATTCTGCCATTGGACGAACTGCCTTCGTCCGGGCATTGTGCGCGACCCTGCACGATTCCTCGGAATGTGTCGTTCCACGAGTTGCCGGCAGTCACTCCGCCTTCGGTCGAAACTTTCTGGCAGCGATTTGAAGAAAAAGGCTTTGCTCAACCCAGCGGAAATATCTTTGCTAGTGCTGCACCACACGGTGAATTTTACACGTCATTATATCTGGCAGAAAATAAATCCGGCTACCGGCCGATCTGTCTGCTACGGTTCTGGAACGCCGAAAGGGGCAAAACTGCAGCGAGGATGGCATCGCCAATGTGAAAATTCACCTGGCAGCTTTCGAACCGGCAGTTGTTACTTACAGAGTTAATGGCTCGTTTTCCGAGTAAGTACTGGATAAATATTCAGTATAATAGTAAAGAATATCATAGTATTAAAGCAAGTACTGGATAAATCTTCCGAGTAATCACTGTTTAAATACGTATTAGTTTACCACTTTACCGTTCAGTTTTCAGTTTTCTTAACGTTCTAGTGCTCGTAGATTTATTAGCTTTCTTACTAGGGCCCGGTACCGCCTCTGAAGAATTTCGATGTTTGTATGAAGACAGTATAGCATTGGCAATACTTAAAAAAATAATTTCATCGGCAGTGGTCCAGAGGGCGTGACTAAAAATAAATTTAGAACATAGACGTGTCGTGTGTATGTCAATGTATTACTTGTCATAATATTCCTGTTTGCGAGTGAAACTTAATTTTCTGAGCAGTTTTCGTTACCCGCTGTCACTGCAGAGTTGCGGTCTTAGTTTTGAATAACTGGCTTGGTAGTATAAACATTCTAGGAAAGCTTGCCATCCGAAATACTTATCTTAGTTCAGCACAATGTTGTGGCCGCGTCAGAGTAAATACTAAATATTATGCCGAAAACTGCTGGCAATTTGACAAAAATATTTAATGCTGTCAAGCCAGTTAGACAAAAAGAATAAAAGGAGGCGAAAAATTCACAGTGCTAACGGTTAACGCTCTGCTAGGACCTTGGAAAATATGTTTTCACCGGCGAAACAGGAACAGTATGGTAAATATACATAGCCGATACATACGGTACTTGTTTTCTCTAAATTGGTTTATGGCCACGCCCGCTGAACCATTGCCGATGAAAATATTTTTTAAACGTTCCCGACACCTGTTATGTCTTCAAACAGAATATGAAGTTTTTTTTAAGGGGATGCCGGTGACCGAGACCTGGTTGGGTTTTATTAATTCCCTTAAGCGTTCATTTTTATGTTTAATCGACCGAAGCGTAGCGAAGGTCCTCTATGTTCAGCGTTCATGAAAAATGTGGTGTCTGTCGGTCACCGCTATCAAATGCACATATGCGCGGCAATTCCTTAGTCAAATGCACATGCGCGCTGGCCGTGTATACTCAAGGCGTTCAAACTGTGGTGTCTGTCGGTCACCGCCATCAAATGCACATATGCGCAGCCTTTCCTCAGTCAAATGCACATGCGCGCCGGTCGCATGGAGTATATTTTGTATTCCGCCGGGAAAGTTACCGCCATCTACTCAAATGGCGATCGAGTAAACAAACAAGACTTGACGTTACCTGATTCTTCACAAAAATTTGGGAACTGCAATACTGTCGAAAAACACGTCTATAGCCGGTAAAACCATGAATCCAGCGGCCAGGAAGGTCGTCCACCGTAACTGAGACCGTAAATACATGTCCCTTCAAGTAGGCTTTAGTTTTACGCAATGTTTTTCAATATGACCGGCAAAAATGTCCGATTCAACACTTCTGCTATGCTTAATCCGAGAACAGCGGAATATTGATCTGCCTGGGAGGAGATCTGCGCCACTTTCCAGTCGCTCGAAGCAGTGGCCTCCACCCCCTTACACGTCACCGGGTACATGGTTGTACAGCTTGTACTCTACAGACACTGTACATACTTCAAAAACATCACAATAATTCTACAAAGTTTTGCTAATAAGTAGATGAAAATATTTAGAAATTTTCTGCTACGCTTCGGTCATGCAGTGGCAGCAGTGCCCGCCAGAAGCGAGTGCACTTTCCTAGTTATTATGCTCTGGCTATTATCAGAATGACCGTTCCTCCGTTTTCCTTCGTGCCGACCATAAAGAGAAAAGTTTACGCTAAGAGGTTGGTCTTGCCCGGATACCGAAATCACGTGTACAAGCTTGTCAGGTAATTTCTGCCGGTTCAATACGGCGAAGTATACAAATTGCGTGTTACGCCAAACTCTATGCTACGGCGCGCCACGCCACACTCGCCATACTGCTTAAATACGTAACATGCATCTGGCTAGCTGGTGGCTTGGTGCACGCCAGATAATTTAATGAGAATAACAGTAACTGCCTGGCTGAAGGTGGTTAGAAAACGGTCGGTGTAATAATGGGCAATCTATCTGCGGAGCGCATTTAGGCAATCCGATAAGCGTAGTGACGTGGCCATCATTTTAGCGCAAATTTCGCGCTAGCTGTACCTTTACGACAGAAATTGCCGGACAAGCTTGTACACAGTGACAGGGCGCTATTATAAATACGACCGCGACTTCCTTGATAGCTTCGGAGAAAAAACTGGCATTAAGTCGCTGCTGTCAGGTCCGCTGAATCGGGCCTATTCCTTTCGGATGTATCTTGACCGACCTCCTCACGATTTTTTCTTGAATATTTGACCTCCTCACGATTTTTTCTTGAACCTGTTATTACAGGCTATTTTTTCACCTTTTTCATTAAACTGTCCGTGTGATTCCGATTTTTCTCTACATTATTGCACTAACTGCTGCTTCCGTGGCAACAATTTGTTTTACTCGTAAGAATGTACTGTAGTACCACACTACCACTGTACCAGTATCTAAAGAACGTCATTATATTAAGTACTCCATTTTCTATACTTAGAATCTGTTGCAATTTCTTCTGACCAAAGCTTTCAAAACAACATCAAAATTCAGAAGGCACATTACCAAATGGGCACCAGTAAAGATCCGTACCAATGGTACATTCAATTGCACCACTGGTGCATGCATGTGCACTTTTGCTGCATGTACCACTTTTATGTACTTCCTTAGGCGCTAATAAATCATACAATTATGTCGTCGCCGAGTTGTAGTACCATGGTCAAGTACCAATTGCATTATTTGTCGACGTACCGTGTAATGCACTGTTGACTGATCAGTGCCGTCGCAACGTCCGTATTGTTGCAATAATAATTATTTATGGCAGTGCTGTAATTGTTACCCTATTGTTTGTAATTCCCCATCTCGCCGTGCGCCCTGATGCAGTTCACTGGTACTTTCTCATCGTGCGGTCGATATTGGGTATTGATTGCACAAGCGTGTAATACCCAAGCCCCTGGGTAACTGCAGTGGACAGTGGTCAGGAATGCAGGTACCATCGACAGCGATTGACACGTCATTGACAGCAAAATTTAATGTTGCAAAACTTTCACTTATTGTATAGAGGTCATCGTTCTGAACACTAAGTGTTATACTGGCATTTACACACCGAATTTTGTACGTCACATACTGTGTCGTGCAAATACTATCTAATTAAGGGATTTGGCCCGGTACATAGTACCAAATTCGGGTACATACACGGGAACTTTCGCTGTCGCGCACTCCTAAACACATTTTTGCATTGCTTTGTAACATTTTGTAGCCAAAGGATTCGTATACATAGGCGAAAAAACTGTTTGTGCGCGCAACATCCGGTTCGGGAGTTATTAGTGAAATAAAATTCCAAAAGTTTAAACGCGCGGAGGTGTATCAAAAGTCTCATTATGAACCGATGCTCTTCAAATTTTGAACGAAAACGCACATTACTATGAAGATCGTTTTGGTACCGAACCAGCTTTCCAGCACTTTCCAAATAGATTTCAAAAATTTTAAAATTAATTTAAAATTTGAAAAAAATGGTAGAAAGCTGGTGCGGTACCAAAACGATCTTCATAGCAATGTGTTTTCGTGCAAAATTTGAAGAGCATCGGATCATAACGAGACTTTTGGTGGTACACCTCCGCGCGTTTAAACTTTTGGGAATTTTATTTCACTAATAACTCCCGAACCGGATGTTGCGCGCAAAAACGGTTTTTTCGCCTATGTATACGAATCCTTTGGCTACAAAACATCATAAAGCAACGCAAAAAAGGGTTTGGGAGCGCGCGGCAGCGAAAGTTGCCGTGGATGTATACAGATTTGGTGCTATGTACCGGGCCAAATCCCTTAAATACACACCCATTAGTAATTTTGCGATAGGTTAACCTTTGCTGAGCGCTAATGTAGGCACTGTAGTATAGCAGTTACAGTACTATTAAGTGCGTACTTCTATAATATTTAGTTTTTGTTATCTATAAGGTACAGCTTGTTAATCGAAGCAGCGGCTTTATTGGGTTATTCACCATAACGTAGGTTAAACGCAAAATTACGCAGTTCATCATTTCAACACATAATACACTTCATCCAGCCTCTTACCGATACAAAACGTTTCCTGAACACACGCGGCATTTCCTCGCATTAAAGCAACACAGATTCGCTGCTTTAGAAACTGAGTGGAACGCTTCTCTTGTGTCCGCTCGAAAAGCATCTTACCGAGCGTAGACATCTTACATTTCGATTCTTTACCCCACACGCCCATTGTTTCAAAAACCAAAAACAGAGAAATTGAAATTATCGCGCAAATATCCGTGCTTGTGATTTTTCTTCGTCTCTGCCATGGTAGCGGCCGCACCGGCCTCCTGGGACGTCTTGGCGATGTAGGAAGTGGCCATGGTGTCCGGGCAGGTGACGTCCCAAACCCAAGATTTTCCTTGGCTGAAGGGGACCATCGTCATGCCGTCCGGTCGTTTTAGAGTATCACGATACAGGCCTGGAGGTTCCAGAACTGAAGGAATGCTTGCCCAACCGCATGCCCAGTGGATAACGTCTCTGACTTCGTTGTGACGGGAAATCTTTGCTTTGAGGCGCTTACATCCCAACCCGTGATATCCCCAAACATCAACGGTGCTGCCGCATTTGCACCTGTGTTCAACGCATACTGGAGCGCCGATGCGAAGTGCTTTTATACATATTGCTTTGCATACTGTATTGCCTGGAGACAGTACAGAGTACTACTGGCTTTCTGTTCAGCAGTACTTCTAAAGTGCACCCGTACTTTCAAAGAACTGCTGTGCCAAAGTGACCTTCCCGAACAGAGCCGAACAAGCCGATTCAGCGCTGTGGCAATTAAAGCACTGCAGTACTATCAAAGAACAGCAATAATTTTGAAGTACAGCAATAATTTTAAAGTAATCTTGTACTTTAAATGTATTGCAATATTTTAAAATGCCTAAGCGCTTGATCATCTGTTTCGGCTTGTTCGGCGTTGTTCGGGAAGGTCACTTTGGTTCAGTAGTACTATACTTTGAAAGAACTGTTGCACTTCGAAAGTATTCCTGTACTTTTAAATCATTGTAGTATTTTAAATGCCTCAGCGCTTCATCGTCTGTTTCAGCTTGTCAGAGTGCAACAGTAATTCTGAAGTACTGCTGTGCCAAAGTGACCTTCCCGAACAACGCCGAACAAGCAGAAACAGAAGATCAAGCGCTGAGGCATTTTAGAGTAAGCATTGCAGTACTTTGAAAGTACAGTAATACTTCCAAAATACAAAAAATACAACAAAATAAAACACTACACTTTTAAAATACAACACTACACTTTTAAAATACAACACTACACTTTTTTAAAGTACAATAGTACTTTCAAAGTGTACTGCTCTACCAAAGTGACCTTCCCGAACAACGCCGAACAAGCCGAAACAGACGATCTAGCGCTGAGGCATTTTAAAGTTTTGCAGCACTTTGAAAGTATTGTTGTCCTTAAAAGTATTGGTGTACTTCAATGACTGCTGTGCCAAAGTGACCTTCCCGAACAACGCCTTTAATTTGTTATATCAGGGATTCAGGGCTGTACTAAAGAGAGAAGGCGTGCGGGCACCAATGGTGACGTCACAGTAAGGCAAGCAGCCCGCTTGCAGCGCCGTGCTTTAAGGATCGTAGGCTCCACAGACTGCTATGGCGAACTCGTTTTACGTTCACTTCCCGTGCTGTAAGAACACCGAGTTATAGCTCAAAAGAAAGGGAAGTTTCATAATGCAAATGTCTTCAATATTAAGTTCCCATTCACAGTCGGTCCAGACCGTGAATGGGTGTGTTGACCGTGAAAAGACCGCTGTGTTCTAAGTGCACAATTGTTAAGACCTTTTCAAAACATTTTAACGATTTCAATTGCACACATATTATAAATCGAATGTCTTAGATATTTCCCACACTTTTCAATTAATTCAAACTTCTAAAATTTGAAATGCTTAACATGGCAACCAGTGGAGCCTACGAGCCATAAAATATTGAGCAGAAACCGGAAATGTTTATTATTCTGCTGACAGCGGAATTCGTGGAGTGCCGCTTCGCTA